CTACCAGTATTAGTATTAATATTAGTATATGTATTAGTATTAGTATCAATATTAATATTAGTATTAGTATTAGTATTAGTATTAGTATTAGTATTAGTATTAGTATTATTATTATTATTATTATTATTATTATTATTATTATTAATATTAGTATTAGTATTAGTATTAGTATTAGTATTAATATTAGTATTAGTATTAGTATCACTATAATTACCAATGTAAGTATCAATATTATTATTAGTATTAGTATCAGTATTAGTCTTATTCTTAGTATTGCTATTAGTATTAATATGAATATTAGTATTAGTATTAGTTTTATTATTAGTATTAGTATTAATATTAATATTAGTACCAGTATTATTACCAATATTAGTATTAGTATCACTATTAGTATTAATATTAGTATTAGTATTAGTATTAGTATTAGTATTAGTATTAGTATTAGTATTAGTATTAGTATTAGTATTAGTATTAGTATTATTATTAGTATTAGTATTAGTATTAGTATTAGTATTAGTATTAGTATTATTAGTATTATTATTAGTATTAGTATTAGTATTAGTATTAGTATTAGTAATAGTATTAGTATTTATTATTAGTATAATAAGTATTAGTATTAATATTAGTATTAATCGAATTAATATCACTATTAGTAACAGTATTGGTATCAGTATTGGTATCGGTATTGGTATCAACATTGGTATCGGTACTGGTAGTGGCGTATACATCATATCTCTTTATTTATAAGTTTTATTGTTGTTTGAGTAATGTGCATCACTAATTGAACGTCATTAGTGATAAACTTGCAGGTTATTTGAATATTTATTGTGTTACTTCTCTCCTACCGTGTTTGTTGTTACCTCAGTTATTTTGCAAAAGATTCACATGGTGTAGTAGATTGCAATCCAAGAAATAGAGTTATACCATATGTTTTAAATGATTTCACTTAATCTTGATATCGTGTTTTGCGCGCTTTATGTTTTTTTATTTGTAATATTTAACTTAATTTAATATGTTGCAACTCTAAATTAAGAGATAAAGTTTATGTTTTTTATTTCCTTTCATTTTGTTTTACTTGAATTGGTATTGTTATAAAGAGATAGTCATTTACATAAGTTTAATTTTCTCATTTTGAAACTGACATCCGTGCAACGCACGGGTGAAATACTAGTCAGACTTGAATTATCAATGTTGGATGTTAGACGATAAATATATGAATAAATCAATGAGTACTGCTGACAATTTTGATGTTTTGAATTATCTAAAATTCAGAACGTAAGTTGTTAATGCATAACGTTGTCATCCAACATTAATTCTATCTAATTCAAGTTGGATTAGAAAATTAAGTCAAATGATTACAATTTTCTTGTGTTTGGAATTATGCTAAGATCACACAAAACAATAATCAAAATGACGTTCGAAATAAAAACCATACCAATAGTTGAAACGATATTTAACATTTCAGAAACTGCATTTATTTTTCAATTTTCATTAGCATTTAGAATATAATTAAAAAGATCCACTACATTCGAATTTCCCGGGTATTCATCGAATCAAAAACCCTCCACAAAACCCTAATTAAATCCCCAATTCGATTACCAATTTTTTCTTCGTCTTTGATGCAAGTTTCCGACATGCGTGCATTCCGATCAATTCACCTCTGCAAAACCCTCCAAACCATCTCCACCGGCAATCCTAACCCCATTATCACATGTTGCAGATCTCGTAACAACCCTCTGTTCACTAAAAAATCCCACCGCCGCTTCCTCTCCACCGCCACCGCCGATGAATCATCCACCGCTTCCAGCTGGTCCGCCTTCCCCAACTCCCAGCCGCCGGCCGACTCAGCCTCCCCCAAAACCCCTACGGTTCAAACTATTTACGACCCGACCACCGGCCGTGTTGTCACCAAGCGAGAATACAACGTCAGCAAAGAAGTTGAAAAATCCGAGAGCACACCACCGGCGGTCGATGTAGGCAGCAGAGTGTACGGAGATGTCATCGGGAGCAGTAGCGCCAGGAGCAGCAGCATGAAGAAGAAGGGGAAGAGCAGGAGCGTACATGTATGTGAGAGCTGTGGGTACTCCGATGGGCAGTGGTGGGGCACGTGCAAGCAGTGTGGGGAAGTCGGCACGATGAAGCGGTTCACCACCGAGAGCGTTGACCGGAAAGTGAGCGGCATGCAGGTGTCTGAAAATGCGGTGAGATCGTGGCTGCCAAAGGATACGGCTCCTGTCAAGCTGACTGATGTGTACGGTCGGATCGACGATTCAAACTGGCGAATACCGCTGTAAGTGTACCTTAAATATATTAGTCAATGTTGCTGTATAAACTGTTCTTCTATTCGTACAACTGTAGTTGATTATGTTGTTGTGGTTTGAATTAGTTAATATAGGGATTTACTAGGTTTCTTCGACTTTTGTAAATAGGTCTGGACTGTTTGGAGCTGAAGTCGAGAGGGTTCTTGGTGGTGGTTTAGTCCCAGGTATTCCTTTGGACGCCTTTTTTATTATAATTCATAGTTCATTCAAAGTGTTGACCAGGACTTTTTGAATTGCTTCTATTAAAATATGAGTCATAATGAGAGGATGATATTATGATTTAAACGGCCTTATAGTTATACTTCAAAATTTTGAAGTTTATTTTCGCTAAAATTATGTGATTTTATTACATAAAGAAAGGAGAAATAGAAAGAGGAAGCTAAAGTATGACTTATTAAGAAACCTAGTTTTATCCATTAGCACTGTTTAGTTTTTTTAAATGTAAATCAATTTTGGAATATGTATAATCCAGTGTTAATGGATGTAATAGTCGATGGTCGCTATACTAGACTCCAGACGTAATTTGGAAACCACTCTTGGAGAGGTGGAATACTTTTCTCATCTAGCATCGTAACTGTGTAGTTTGGGTTTCGTCTACTTGTCTTTGTTTCTTCCTAAAATGTAGTTTGAAAATTGACTAGTTATTTGTCGTACAGGTTCTCTAGTATTAGTGGGTGGAGATCCCGGTGTTGGTAAAAGCACGTTGTTGTTACAGGTATCAATACTGTCCTTTGATGCTTGGTCGCTCATGTAATAATATTTTAGGAATTTTGTATTTGGTACTTAATATTACTTTCTGGTATCTATTTGACTAATATTTTACTTTTTGAATGGAAGATTGCAGCATTAATCACAGAAGGAAAGGATGCAAATATTCCAGGTCGAGTTATATATGTATCTGGGGAAGAGGTATGTCGTCTCCGAATGTAGATATAACTTTGTAGGACTTATAATAGATTTTTTCTTATTTCTAGAGGTTGGACAGATTAAAATCTTTGCCTATGCTGTGGAAATATACTTCTTTAGTTCTTTTCTGTAGACCACCTTACATTATTTTCCTGGTTCTGCATATTTCTCTACATTGACTCACATCATCAAACTGCACTGCGGATGTAGAAGATTAATTTTGGATCTATTCCCTATTTACTTGTGCCACTGACTTCTCTTCTAATGGCAGAGTGTTGAGCAAATTGCAAATAGAGCTGACCGTTTGTCTATTGAAACAGACGAACTTTTTCTGCATTCTAGTACAGATATTGAGGTAAATCTTCTTAACATGCTCATATGCTTACTTGGAAGATGACAAAGGTTATTAATATCTATCAAAGCAAATAACTTGTTGTGGTGTATACTCTGTTCTGCCAGACTTGCAGTTAGTGTTGATTAAAGCTTCTTGATAGCCTGTGGTGTTGAAGGATTTTGTATGGCTAAATCATAATTAAGGAAATTGTAAAATCAAAGATTTTATGGGGTCTTGAATATTTTATTTTATTAGTTCATTATGTCTCAATGTACTTTATACATCAACATGTTGTCTTTCTTCAGGATATTCTAGAACACGCTCAGCATCTTTCTCCGAGGGCTTTAATCATTGATTCTATTCAGACAGTCTATTTAAGGGGAGTGACTGGAAGTGCTGGAGGTGACGTGCAGGTTTGTGACTTTCTGATTTGTTAGTCCTCTGAAAAAAATATATTATAAGTTCATAAAATGCAATTCATTTCAGTTCTGTCTTATAATGATTGCTATTAGGACTTAGGAGGAACATAGTTGTCTTTCTCTGGTGATCTAATATGCTTTGACTTTGTTCCTTTTCTATCAGTTATGCTCGACACTAGGAATTTTCTGCTTCAGTATTTGAACTGTCTAGTTTGACATAGTTATCATGTGACAGGTGAAAGAATGCACCTCAGCGTTACTACGATTTGCTAAGAAGACAAACATCCCCGTTCTTTTGGTGGGTTCAATTGTTACATTGTTGTGAACCTTAGAAAACCGAAAATTTTATATTCTTTACATTAGAGACTTTCAATAATTGTAATCTTTTCTCCCTAATTGCAGATTGGACATGTGACAAAAACTGGAGATATAGCTGGACCTCGTGTCTTGGAGCACATTGTTGATGTTGTTTTATATATGGAAGTTGGTATCTAATTGAATCTTCTTTTTCAAGAATCAGTGTTTTAATTCATGCATATCATGCCAACCACACTTATGATGGATGTTTCAGGGGGAGAAATATTCATCACACCGATTGCTAAGATCAGTGAAGAATCGATTTGGCTCTACAGATGAGGTATTCCTTAGTTTTCAGTCACAACAGAACTTTTTTGGTGCCCATTCATCAAATTTCCCATAATAATGCACTGTTATTGAAGAATCAAATGCAAATGTTTCTTGACAAGTGAATGATGTTTTTTTGTGCCAGCTTGGAGTTTTCAAAATGTCACGATCAGGATTGGAAGGACTTTCAAATCCCAGCGAGATGTTCTTAGTCGATCAGCACTCCGATTCAGACTACCTAGCCGGGTTAGCTATAGCTGTGATTGTGGATGGATCTCGAGCGTTTCTCATCGAAATCCAGGTACTATTTTTTTTTTCAATTACTGGTCACAAGTTCAATATATAGAATGAAACAATTATTTGCCTTATATTGAATAACTTGGGAGGGTTAACCTATTTAGCACAATTGCTGATACAATAATCTATATGAGCTTATTTGCACTGAAACTTGTCAAATATACTATTTGATGGTTACGAAATTTTCCATTCGCTCACTTTATTTAATTGTTATTATTTACTATAGGCCTTGTGTGTAGCTGGGTCATCCGTTGTGAGGCATTTAAACGGTGTTCAAGGAAGCAGAGCTGACATGATTATTTCAGTGAGTCATTAATCCATTCGCTGCTTTGACGTGGTTTTGGATTTTAATAACTAATTGTGATACCCGTTAGACGATGCATACTGTCTTCAGATTGGTTTCTCTATTTTATCAATACATTTTAGATTTATTTAATAGATTTAAATGAGCTTCTGTTGGATAGTATGTAAATGATCTCACTGTATGTTCATTCTGCAGGTTATCATAAAGCAAGCTGGTCTTAAGCTACAAGAGAATGTAATATACTGATTCTCATTTCTTTGTTGACAATTATGTCTCGAATCGTGATTATGTTCATAATTTGCTAATTTCCGACTTTTTTTTTGTAGGGTATCTTTCTTAATGTTGTTAGTGGGGTTAGCCTAACCGAGACAGCTGGGGATTTAGCAATAGCAGCTGCAATTTGTAGCAGGCATGTCGTTACTAAATATTCTTTAGTATATTTCAATTGGTTGATATTTATTTAGGTATTTTACTGCAATATTTCTTATCTAGTTTAATGCGACATATGTTATTGCATTTTTTTCAGCTTCTTGGAATTCCCAATACCAAATGGCGTAGCGTTCATAGCGGAAATCGGTCTTGGTGGTGAACTTCGTATGGTAAGTGAAATCGGTCTTTGGGACTTCCACTTAATTTAGCGAAAATCGGTCTTTGACTATAAGCACACAGATATATATACATGTATTTTTTTATTTATCTATTTATGTCGAATATAGGTGCCGCAATTAGAGAAACGGATCAACACTCTGGCGAAGCTTGGGTATAAAAAGTGTATCGTCCCCAAGTCGGCGGAGAAATCTTTGTCGGATCTTCAGCCTCACGGAATGGAGATTTTGGGATGTAAGAATTTGAAGGAAATGATTAACACTGTTTTTGTAAGAAGCTGACATCTTTGTCTAACCTAAGAATTTGTGTATATTTTTGTAGCTGTAAAATTAACCACTGTAATTTCTTGAAATCATATTTTGCTTTTGTTACACCTAGTGAAATACATTTGGTAATTTTTCATCTTTGATTTGCACACAATTACACACATAAATTTGTATGGATGTGTACAAATATACAGTATGACAAGTTTATCGAGAGTAGCATATAATAAATTTGTGTTTGAGAAATTACACTCAGCCCCTGTAGCTTGTAAATTTCTTACACTCACTTCCCACTAAAGGGTGTTAATGTAAGAAATCTACACATTACAGGGCTGGATGTAATTATTGAAAAAAGAGGGGTTTGTTCGGAAATAAATCTTGCCTCAGGGGGTGATGTGTAATTTACCCATTGATAAGCATTAAAGCATGCTGCATGTGGTATACTAAGAAATAATTGGGCCCATTATGTATCTGACCCAATTAAACCCGAATTGTTGATATGGTAAATAATATAAAGCTAGGCCCGTTTTGTGTATGGCCCGATTACAAAACGGGCCCATTATCTTATTCGAATATACCCCTCCGCCTAGCCGCACCACTACCCTATTGTTTTCAACCACCGTATGTTTGCCGCCGACGGTCGGCGCGAATTCTTAATATCTTTTAACCTAGTTCTGTAAATTTCAATTTTTTGACGCAAAGTTACCGAACCAAACAGGTTATTCTTAAGCCCCAAATCGAATTTACGGTAAACACACACACACACACACACACACACACACACACACACACACACACACACACACACGCGCGCGTGCAAGTGATCAGGAAGCAGGATTCAAATCTGGTGTTCTAGATGTCGTTCAGAGGGAGAGGCGGCCGCGGCGGCGGCCGTGGCGGCAGATTTGGTGGCGGCGGCGGACCGAGGGCCACTCCAGTTCCTTTCGAACTGTTTCCGGTAATTATATATTTTTTTAATTATTTTTTTTTTACAATTTTACTTGTGACATTAACTTAATTATGATTAATTTATGTGTGATTTTGGAATTGATTAATTGCATTATTTTTTAGGATATTGCGGGTATAGGTAAAGCTGAGAAATGTCCTGTTGAGAAGCATCACTTAATTAAGTGGTCTATGGGTCTGCAGGCTTTTAGCGAATCCTCTCCTTATTATTATGAAGATCAAGGCGAACTCTCGAAGAGTACGTTTTTTCGACCGTTTTGTATAATTTTCCTGCTGTAAATGCTCTGTGTTTCTGTATTCATGGTTCAATTTGAATGATTAGGGTTTATTTAGGGTGATGTTATTCAAATTGGTGAGATAAATTTTGTTTGCGTTTTATGAATCGTGCCAACGTAAAAAAAAAGACGGGCATTTGTTATCACTATTTGTTATTACGAATTGTGTGATATATGCTTAATTTTGCTCGAGAACTATTTGAAATTTATTCAATTACTAACTTGAATCGCAACACGTTACGTATTCTTGAAAATGTGGCTGCAGAAGTGGTAAAACCGGACATAGAAAGATATTCCGATAGGGATTCGCTAGCAAAGCGTAAGCGAACAATCGAAGACTCGATAAAGCTGGGCGAAGATTACATGCCTAGAGAACTAGTTAGAGGTTGATGTTTATACCTACATTTGAAATTTTTTAGTTTGTATCATCGTTTTTCACTGGTTGCCTTTTTTTAATATATAATTATTATTATTAATGGATCAGGTGATAAGAAGGGAAGACGTGCTGTCAAGAGAGTTCGATGGAACCCCGATTCAGGTATATAATGTGATGAATACTATTCTTATTCGCGGTTACATAATTGGATGAAGAGTGTTTTATTATAACAATCTTGTTTTGAATTGAAAAATATTCACTTCAACTATGATTCGTGTGATGAACGATTTGTGAATTCTTACAGCTTGGCAGAGATTTGATATGTTTGATCGACGTGAACAGAAAGGCGAGGTATATTCATTCTCCAACGTCTCAAGCGAATATCTATTTTTTTGTTATTTGATATTTGTTGTGTCTTCTTACTGAACATTGCTCCTAATTATTATTTTTCGCTGCAATTTCAAATTTATAGGGCAAAGAAGATGAAGATGAAGAAGATGAAGATGAGGAAGTAGAAGATGACACAGACGGAGAATTCAGCGACGAGGGTGATTATGAACAGGTATAGTAGATAGATTACATTTACTCGATGACTTTCATTTGAGTTTTATTTAATTTAATTCCGTGTAATGGATTTCCCATGCGTCGTAATATATATTATCTGTATTTAGGATTTACGTGCGTATGTGGCTAATGTTAGTTTCGTTTTACAGAATGAGGACTTTGATGATGATGAAGATGATTTCAATATGGCCGAAGAAAATGGTATGCTTTAGAATTTCCAATTTCCGATTTTTTTTTTAAATAATACATTTATAGAGTTGTCATTGGCTAATATATTAATTTGTGGTATGGCAGAGGAGCCGTATTATTGATTTTCTCGTAACGGGATTGCTGGACATATCTTGGTTGGACATATCTCGTAACGGCATCGACAGAAGTTCGCCTGTTTATACCTATTTATTTATCGTTTTTTTTTCTGTGCATTTTAATCAATTAATGCTAACATAAACTCGAATTTTCGACATTGTTATGGTTCTTGAAGGCAGACTCCAATTTCTAGTTGCATTTCAATGTATTTTTTACTGACCAAATACAATACAGCATTCAAATTTGAATAATTAGTAGCAATTTTCTCGATTGCTACTATATAAATAAAGATAATTGAGAAAATTACACTTTTAGTCCCTGAGGTTTCCATCAACTTCATATATAGTCCTACTTGTTCGTAAAAAATAGATTTAGTCCCTCATGTTTCAAACATTCAACACTTTTGGTTATTTCCGTCAATTTTCTATTAGTTACTAACGCAATCAAACATGTGTGTCCGTCACCGTCTTAATTGACAGACTAACGGTAAATTAACGGAATTGATCAAATTTGTTAAATTATTGAAAGTTGAAACAAACATAAGGACCAAATATTTTTTTTTTGGTGCAAAATTGAGGGCAAAAACTGTAATTTCTCCAAAGTTGGAAAATAGAGAAATTATTATTATGGCTTCCCACTAAACGGCCACGTGGACACCAAAAAAAGAGAGCAAGAGTAATAATAACATCATCTTCCTGAAGCGTGAACGCCACTCGTTCAATTCCATCGCGTCGAAATCGGGGCAGAAATCATACCTTCGCCAACCCCTTCTTTTACGATCACGATTATTTATTTCCTCTCTCCCATTTACCACACACACACACACACACACATCACCGAAAAAAGAAATAAAAAACTTTTTCTTTTTTGTTGTTGTTGTTGTTCTTCCCTCCGTCGCGAGAAAGCATCGAATCGAATCGAAAACAATGTCGTGGCAGACTTACGTCGACGATCACTTGATGTGCGAGGTGGAAGGCGCACATCTCGCCGCCGCCGCAATCATCGGCCTCGACGGCAGCGTTTGGGCTCAGAGCTCCGCCTTCCCACAGGTCAGTTCTACGATTTTCCCCCCTTTTTTTCTCGTCCGATTTGATAAAAAAATGAGGATCTGTCGTTTACTTCTGACCTGATTAGATCCGATTCGCAATTGCAATTTTTTTTTTCGATTGATTTGATTTTATGCATTTCCCATTTACAGGACTTAGGATCAATTTGATCATAACTTTGCTAAGATTGTAATGCTGATGCATGTTATATATTACTATCATTTTCACTGAAATATTTTTTTTAATGGATTGGTGTATGTTTGATTCGATGTAAATGTCAAATACGGATAAAATATTGGAAACCACACGAGAAAATTTGATCTATCGGTGTTCGTATCGAACACGACGTTGTCTTTAGTTTTGAACAGAATAGTTGTATTTTTTCATTTCAATTGATTTGCCAGTTTTATCGATCTGTGGGAATTTCTGGCATTTTGCTTACAAGCATTGTAAATTTTTGTATTTGTTTTTGGCTTCTTCTGTATAAATAACAACGTCGTTCCGAATTACTACTCGTATGTATGTTGATGCTCATTTTTATTTTTTATTATTTGTATATTTTCATTTGCAGTTCAATAAGCAAGAGATGGATAACATTGTGAAAGATTTTGACGAGCCTGGATTCCTTGCTCCTACCGGATTATTCCTTGCAGGCGCAAAGTATATGGTTATTCAAGGAGAACCCGGTGCTGTTATTCGAGGAAAAAAGGTGATCGATCGTTTTACGTTTTTCTTGCTATTTTACAACAAAATCAGGTTACGCGTGCGATGTTTTTTTAATATTCTTTTCCTCTTACCCCTAGCTTTTGAAGAAAATATTCTTGATCAAGAATCGAGATTATATTATGTCTAGAATATCCATGATTTTTGTTATCAACTTATAGTAATGAACAAGTCTTATATTGCAACGAACATGACTTTTTCACCCTTATCGTTGATCATGGCCAATGCAGGGGTCCGGGGGTATAACCGTCAAGAAAACAGCGCAAGCTCTCGTATTCGGGCTCTATGAAGAGCCGATGACTCCAGGTCAGTGCAACATGGTCGTCGAGAAGTTGGGTGACTACCTTCTTGATCAGGGCCTTTAGGCCAATTTTGAGTATCCGCATCGTTGCATTTTCCAAACCTTGCATGCCGAATTTGGCCAATAAGGTTTTTTTTTTTTTTGGAGGATAACAATAATCGATGACAGTATTAGAGAGATTTTTTTCTGTTTTTCTTTTGTAGTAGGGTTTTTTATTTGATTCGAAAGTGTGATCAGATGATCTGGCTTGTTTGTTTGTTACCGGTGGTGCTGCTTTTTGCATCAGCTGAAGTCTGAACTAAAATGGCTGATGAGTTTCTCTCTCATTGCCTCTTATCTCTCTCTCTCTCTCTCTCTCTCAATTTCTCTCTAGTATATGTTCATTATTCATTGTTGTATTTTTTTTTTCATTAATTTTTCAGATGTAAACTCTGGCACATTGTTATATTTACTGTTTGTTTTGGGAAATGATAAAAAAGAAAATAGTTTCTAATTTTATTTGTGAAGATAATTATTATCAATAGTTTATGGTATAAAAAATTATGGAAATAGTATTGTCATAAGAATAAAAATGAATAAACCGGATATAGTTTCATGTATACATTACTATGAAAACACGTTAAACGATCAACCTTTAAACAATACGGATTTCGTTCGATTACTACATTTATGTTTTACGGGTTAAATAAGAGGAGTTAGCAACATTTTTTGTTGACAACATTCAAATTATTCAATAAAATTAGTTTCACATCCTTTGTGATTAATTTTGAATGCGTTATTTTTATATGAACTGTTGAATGTTGATTCAAATCACGATTTCGGCCAATGAAACCAATAGTTCCGGACCTCTTCGATCGACAATGTTGCAGACACCAATAAATAAGAGAAAATTGGTTAGTGATAAAGAGAATGCCGTTAAGCTAGTCCGCTTCAAAAATAACGTTCGAAAGCTTGACTTACTAATAAATAGGAAAAGAAAATTGATTTATCTATAATATATTATAAACTATAATATAATTATTGTTAAAGAGTAATATGGTGTTGATCTTATAATGGAGTTGATCGTATTTAATAAAATTCGAATTCATTCGTATATATCTAATCGAACAAATTGTAAGTAAACTAATATTTTATATCAAAATACATAATTTGAAAGCATATGAGTTCAATACTGATGATGCTAATTACTTAGATCACATAGGGTAGTGTAGAAAACGAACTGGGAGAGCAAAGCAGATCAGTAGCTTGACAACTTGATGATCCTGAGGTACCTGCGAAATGAACACACGTGAACTACGCCGGGGGTTGATCCGGCGGAAACCCCTCCGACGCTCAAGTCAGTCGTGCTGATCATAGAAATAGTCCAGAGAATACGTATTGTACTATTGCTCAGTTAATAGGACGTACCTTAATAAAATGAGTAAAACCTCTATTTATATATCGTTTATTGGGTTGGGTTTGCTTTGTTCGGCCCAAGCCTTACTTGAAGTTGTTTGGGCCTCGGTGATATTGGTTTTCGATATTGGGCTCGTAGCCCAGTAGGTAAAGAAATTGTAGGCCCATTGGGTTGGCCCAATTAGGCATATCAAATACTCAAACTTTTGGAAGCAAATAATAAATACTTATATACTCAATAAAATTTATTTCCCCACAACTTTGTCTAATAAAATTTGAAATAAAATAAAATAAGCGCAACAAACCTAAAGTTGTTCCCGCGCTTTCCGCCCCGTTTGTTATTTATTATATTTAAAAAAAAAAAAAAAAGGTATTATTGGACCAGGGGTATAGTGGGTAATTTACGATCCGAAACCCTAATATGCTTCACTCCGCCGTTCTGAGCTGTCACAACCTCTATAAATACCCACAATTCAGCAACTCTCTCATTCATCTCTCTCAACAGCTCCTCAGTTCTATAATTTTTCCCCTCGTTAATTCTGTTTTTTTTTTATATTTATTTATTATCGAATAATAATAATTTTTGGTTTAATTTGATTATTGATGGAACGAATAAAAGCGGAGATTGTGTGTATCGACGTTGTGCGAATTGAAATTCAAATGCACTCTGATCGAAAGTATTCTCCGCAAAATTGATGTTCGCAGGTGAAAGTGGGCAGTTGTTTTTCATTTTTCTCCATTGAAAATTCAACAATCATTTTCTCCACATTCTTCAATCCTCGTCTCACTTCGATTTATTTGTTTTTATTTAATTTATTTTAATTTTCTTTTGATTAAAAAATTCGATCTGGGTATAAAAAACCCACAAAAAGGATTTTGTTGGATTTAAATCTGAATTTTAGAACTCGATTCAACTCTTTGTATAAGATTGAATATGAGTTTCGATTTATTTTTGAAATTGATTTTTTTGTTCATTAAAATACTTTAAATTAATTTATAAAATGGTTTTAATTTGTAGATTTTAAAAATATAAAATCGTAGCAAATATACAGGTATTAAAAATTTTATGGTGAAAGCAAATTATTCTTTTTGTATTGCATTGCAGTAAGAAGTATGGTGTTTATGAGTAAGGATTTGTTTTGGAGAATCACCCTTGTGTAATTTTAAATTTCTGAAGTAGTCCTCGAGTTAAATAAACTTGTTGAAAACCCCTTTTGATTTTAATTTTCGTGTTAATTTGATAGTGTGCACGTTTGCTTATACTAATGCCCTCTTAATTTAAAATTGGTAGAAGTTCATTTACAACAACATTGATATAATCTATTTAATCGTACGATATATGTAATACAACAAGAAAACAAGTTATAAAATTATTTGCTGTATTTGTAATCAGTCAACTCTTCAAGTTGAAGAAGGAGGGTTTCATTCTAATTTTTGTAAATTTACGGACCTTTTTGAAAATTCTTGATTTTACTAGTATCGTCCTTGCAATTTACTAGCTAGGAAAGGACTTAAATCGTAATAGAATAAGCCCACTTGGTATTTTAAGTAAGGGTAAATTACAAATACCCCTGAGGTATGGTCAAATTACAAAAACACCCCTCTTGTTTGGATAGTTACAACCACCCCTCAACTCGTCAAATTCAGTGAAATTTTCGAGATTATATGGAATATTATTACTTTTGTACCCGTTTTATCTCATTCAAACTCTACATTATGAAGCAAGATGATTATGGAATCTAGATGATTATGTTGAATTTTGCACCACAAGGGTGGAGGTATAAGAAAAAAACATAGTTGAGAGGGTAGATATAATTATCCAAACAAGAGGGGGGTTTTTGTAATTTGACCATACCTCAAGGGGTGTTTGTAATTTACCCTTTAAGTAATAAATTATGATATTTTTTTGTTTGACCTACAAGCTGTGAAGAAACAAGCCCAATAAGTTGTGATCTTTGTAGTTTTTATTGAAGATATTGATATTAACTGAAAAGTAAGTAAATGAATTTTATTTTGCAAAAATTGTTTTAAAAGGGAAATTAATTTAAGGTCATATTGTTACTCAATTAGGATGTTGTCCAATTTAATGTTTATATCAGTCTTAAGGACTATAAATATATACAACTACAGTTGAACTTTTATGGATTAATAAAGACTATGGAAATTTGATTAATTCAGTGAATTATTGAGTTAATATATTAACATATTTTTATCGAGTTGAGATTGAGAGAAATTATTATTTAAGCAAAGTTATTAATTTATTTACTATTAATTTATTAAAATTCTACTAGTATCAAGTTGATGTTAGCACCAATTGGTGTCAAAAGGACGGAGTTAGAGAGAGAGAGGGGGGAAGTATAGATTGGCGAAAGTCAACTAAGAGCCCGTTTGGCTAAGCTTATTTAAAACATCTTATAAGCTCCTACATCTGATAAGATGTTTTAGGAGCTGATAAGCTGTTAGATCTTATTTTAAAAATTATTTTTTAAGGTGTTTGGATATGTAGCTTATAAGTTACTTTTTGTTTTTATAAGTTGTTCTGGTGTTTGGAAATAAAAGGTCTGTTTATTGCTATAATGACAAAAAAGTACATGACGCAAGTATAATTGTTAAACCTATTTGACTCAAATATTTTTGTTCCTAAAATATTATTATAATATTTATAAATTATTTTTTCAAATAATAATAATAATATAAAATTATATAATAATATAAAATAAAAGTTGTAAAAGAAATATAATTTTTTTTTTTGTAGATGCAAGAAATATAATTTATTATGGAGATAATAAGAATATTCGTGTATTTTTATATACATATAAAATATAAATAGAGAATAATTTTTTTTTTTACAATTATTATGATAATTACGATAATTATATGTAACTAATTATTAATCTTGATTACAAGAATACTTTGTTTTGATAAAATATAAATATTATTAGTATTCATGTAATATAATAAAGTATTTGAGGGTAATTTTGTATTTTAAGTGTTTTAGTAAAGAAGCAAATAAGATATTAAAGAAAAAAGGTGGGGTAGAGATACTTTTTAATTAACATCTTATAAGCTCCCTAACAGCTTATTTTTGGAAAAAATAAGATCTTTTGCAATTTTTTTACCAAACACCTTTAAACAACTTATAAGCTCCTAAACATCTTATAATATGTTTTTATGAGCTTATAAGCTTAGCCAAACGGGCTCTAAGTATAAACATATAAAAAAGGTAGACCTTATTTATGGAAGATCGACGAACATGATTGACTACCCAAAATGGACGGTCAAGATAAAAGTCCAGAATCTTGTCGATTTAAAATGGACCTTTTTTTTTTAGAAGGGTTTAAAATGGAGTTAAGTGAGTGAATTAGTTAATACCAAAATTGGGTCACCTCAAGTGAATTAGTAATTGAGCCCATTCTAATGTAAATATATCAGTTAGGCCCAACTCTTCACAGTAGTTTTACATAACGGAGAAAATGATTCCGTCCCACTTTATCTTTCAATAGTTGGTGAAAGAGCACCATCCCTTTAACAGAATATTCCAAAGGGAAACTAACTCAATCCATTAGTGATAAGTTTGAAAATTTGTCAGCAACATGTGCCTCCTCAATCAAACGTCAATTTATTTTCTGATAGCGTTTCGAAATAATTTGTTTAATTTTTATTTTTTCGACAAATAATTATTTAACGGCATTGAGTAATTGTATTCAATTTTTCATTTATGTTTTTAATCTAGTCAATTTTTTTTTTTTTATTAAAATGGTTGACTCAGTCAAACATAGTCAGTTCAATTTTATCTAGAAGTAGTGAGCAAAATAATGAACCAAGTCTATTTGTAGGAGGAATGTAACACCGAAAAATTCAATCATTTTCCTCACAATTTCTAATAAATTATTTTCCAATTTCTACAATTAAAAAATATGTAGTGGACATTGACATATGTGGCTAGATGATATGGAAACAAAAAACAAGATATGTTTCACATGATTCTTGCTAAAGTTGGTGAGACAAATATAGGTCAATCCCATGTTTAATATTATAAATTAGTAATATTCAATATCCACCACTAGATTTTGGCAATTCTTGCCCACAATTATTTATAGAAACTGTAGTTGCACAACCAAGATAAATATAGAGGTGAAAGTTTGACGGATCGAATCAGAATTACTATTTTTGAGAAACATATTGAGTTTTTCCGAACATATAGAACTTTTCTCCATCGAAGATAATGGTGCTAGGAATTTTAGAAATTGCAATGAAAAAGATTGTTTTGAAATCGATAATTTTCAAATTGTAATTGACGAAATTCGAGAATATCAATTTTCAGTAAACTAATATATAAAAGACACAATAATATTGATTTTATAATTGCAATATTCTCCAAAATTTACTTTATTGGGAAAAAATATCAGAATTCGAAATAGGATCGAAAATTGAAATCTCATTCAAATAGCGGTCCAAATAATTTCAAACTATCGAAAATTGAAATTTCAAAAGTTCAAATGAAATTATTGTTCTGAAAAACGAAACTTCAAAATTAACCGTGGATCCGATTTACACCGCCATAAATAAGATACACCCCACAATATATTAGTTTATACCATGTTAAATACACCAGAAAAATATATCATGAAAATGTCTATTATTCATAAGCACACAAACGCACACATACACTCACATTGACGTTTGTAAATCAACAGTAAAAATCAACCAATCTAAGATTTATCGATTGTAGTATAAAAATAATCCAATATGTGTCCTTTATAATTTCCCACCTTTATATATATATATATATATATATATATATATATATATAATTTAATGTCCTTTATCTTTTTGAGGAGAGAGATGTTTGGTAGGGATGAGAGAGAAAGGACGGTGACAAGGATATGGATGAGGGCTCCAAACTGCATTGAACTTATCTTTGTTCGAATTAAAGGGAAAATAAAAAACCCAAAAGTCAAGAATTCATTTCAAACCATAGAATAAGAAGATAATGTCGAATCTATAGATAAGGCGTTACATTACTTCTATTTTTTAAAAAAGTACGGCCAATTAAATTCACTTGTGTCTGAAATCATCAAACTTTTTCGAGGGGCTCCCACTAAAATCACCCGCAGTTTCACCAAATTTTAAAATAATAATAATAATAATTATTATTATTATTAGGGTAAATTACAAACACCCCCTGAGGTATGGTCAAATTACAAAAACCCCCCTATTGTTTAGATAATTGCATCTACCCCCCTCAACTATGATTTTTTTCTTAGACCTCCACCTTTATGGTGCCAAATTCAACATAGTCATCTAGATTCCGTGAAATGTGCTCTAGTTTGTACTATTTTTGTGTAAAAAATACAGTTTCCGATGCACCACAAACTGATATATACAAGCTAAAAATCACATATTATGGTCATCTTGCTTCATAATGTAAAGTTTGAATGCGATAAAACGGGTACAAAAGTGATAATATTCCATATAATCTCGAAAATTCCACTAAATTTGATGAGTTGAGGGGTGGTTATAATTATCCAAACAATAGGGGTGTGTTTGTAATTTGTCCATACCTCAGGGGGGTGTTTGTAATTTACCCTTATTATTATTAAAAGAAAAAGAAAAAAAAAAAAACCGTGCATCCATGATGACGTGTCTACACGTATTTGTCGGCGGACCTATCCATAAGCTTGTAGCTTATCCAATGAAGCGTCAGATTTCGGGTCAACCCGTTTGTTGCTGTCCGCGTGTCAGCTTTCTTGACCGTAAATCAATACAAAACTGTAGTTTTGGTCCTCCATCTTTTCTTATTTAACAATTTAGTCCTTTAACTTTTCTATATTTCAATTTTACATGCAATACTTTAAGAATACAGTAAATTTTGTCCAATTTTAGATAAATTTTTAATTTTATAAAGTTACAGATAAAACAGAAATATTTTACTTACATTGTGTTTGCAAAAGTTTATTTAAAAACATAAATTATGGATTGTGAGTTAGCTTAGTTTCAAGTGTTTATTTATAAAAGTTGGGGTGCTTGCAAATTTACCGGTAATAAACTTAAACAGAAAAAGCAGTGTCAATTGTGTCTAACAAATTATTGGTAAAACTTGCTTATTTTAAAAGTAGTTTACAAACACTTAGAAATAGATTATGAGGAAAAGAAAACTCACAATCTATTATAAAATCTTTTGCAAACACCACCTAAAACATAAGCTTAAAAAATGTAAAACCAACATCTAACTTTGCCTTGATGGAACTTCGGTTATCTGAGATGATGAATTTTTAAAATTATAATTTTTATAGCGTCCATATAATTAAATTTCATCAACCTTTGTTAGCCGCATTTTTAACAAATCGGTATAATTCAAATTCAACTGAAGTAGGACCAAAAATGCAAAATTTAGAAACTTATGGCATGTAAAATAAAACTAAAACAATTAAAGGACTAAATATCTAAATAAACCAAAGATAAAGGACTAAAATTAAAATTTCCCAAAAAGAAACACAGAAACTCCATCCCTCCACATCTTTCATCCTATATATAACTCTCAATAATTTCTTCCCAAAGAATTCATTTTTATCACAACTTTTTAATCATTCCCTTTAATTTTTCCATGACATTATTTCCAAGTATGGAACAAGGCAAAAACACTCATCTATTTCAAGATTCATGGCTGCTTCACTATCAAGAAGATGAAGAAGATCAGAAGCCCACGTCATCATCCTCGTCATCATCATCCATCGGAGAAGAATCAACGGTCTCAAATCAATCATCAATATCATGCGACGACACAGCAGATGACGCGTCATCATCTTCATCATCACCATCAAATTCTTCGTACGATCTTTCAGAAATCATGGCCCAGCTCCCCATCAAGTAAGATCTGATTCCTCGCCAATTTAAAAAAAAAAATTCAATCTTTTTTTTTAATGAGGGACTAAATTGAAAAACTTGTTATTTGCAGAAGAGGGCTTTCAAAATTTTATAATGGCAAATCAGAGTCGTTTACTTCTCTTTCAAGGGTTACGAGTATTGAAGAACTGGCGAAGAAAGCAATTCCTTGCAGAAGAAGTTTGAAAGCATCAAAAAGCTGTGGATTAGGGCTAAATAATTATAAGCCCTACACTTTGCCAAAAGCTGTTATTACAAAGAAATCTGCAAAGGGTTCTTTTTTCTCATCTTTTCCGAGTAAAAGAGTTGGATTTATGAGCAGCAAACCGCCGGTTAATCCTTCTTCACATAACAAGTTGGAATGCTAAAGAAACTGTTTTTTTTATGAGAGAGAAAGTGATGAGAGAGAGAGTTGTGTGTATAGTAGCGAATTTTGTGTTGGTTTATTTCTTTTTTCTTCCATTGTTAAAAATGGATTTGCTGTTGACAACTTAGCATTCACTGTATTTTTTTTTCTTTTAACTTTTTAAGTTCAGTTTGGGTCACTCATTAACTATGAATTTTTCTTATACGTCGACTCGCGTGCCATCAAATTCAATAGAATCTTTAAGATTTTGTGTAATCTTCTCTGGTATGTACTTGTTTTGTATAAAATTTTAGTTTTTGGTGCATCATAATTTAGTATTTATAAGTCAAGAGATTCATTTTATGATCTTATTGTGATAAAATATAGAACTTGAATGCGACATAACGGGTACAAACCGGAGAAAATTTGACACGGTGGACGTTCAAGAAAATTCATAGTTGAGGGTGGTTGTAATTACTCAAACATGGGTCGTATTCAAAATTTGATTTTATCTCAGGGGATTGGTTGTAATTTACCCTTTTTATTGTAGCCCACTTTGTATGTATGAAGGAAGCTTCTAAATTCATGTGCCAAAAAAAGAATTGAGAGAATGGTTTCTCTTGTGTTGTGGTGTTTCTTGATTGTTTGAACAAAATCAAGAAAAAGAAAATGGCAAAGGAGTTAATAGAACAGCACTAGCAAACACACATGAAAGATTTGATTCATTGAAGAAGTTTGCAGTTAAAACATAAAATCAAACAATAAAAATTCCTAGGAAAAATACAAAGACAAACAACTGAGGAAGCTGTTTCAGACAAATTTCCTACAAGAAAAGCTGTAAAAATTCATGGTGATATCACCGCTGCACGGTTGCGAATTCGAGTCGATCGTCTAATCGGGGTTACTTCGACCATGGCTTCTCCACTTTGGCCTCCCTATTCAATTCAAGATGATAATACAGTCATGATTTATAATTATTAAAATAAAATTAAGGAAATGTCTCATTAAATATCAATTATGTAATTAGAAATTTACCTCTTTCTTCTTGATCCTCCTTACGGTGACTGGAGAAATTGGTCGAGTTTCTGATTCAGTCATCTGATTCTTCTCGCCACTGATTTTAAGGTTGCTCATTTTTCCGATAACGATTTCGCCGATCAACTCGGCAGCTGGCGCGCGAATTCCGGAAGCTTCTTCTGCTGGATGAGATGTTGTTGGTGGAGGAGGTCTCGCAGAAAACTCGATTTTTCGCTGGACGGTCTCGGCTGCAAACTTATGTGGCTTCAGCACAAACTCGGGGTTTTCGACAGACGTGTTTCTTCTTGTTTTCTTCGAGCGATAAACGATGCCGAACAATGTAAGAATTAAGGATGTAATAACGACCCCAACAGCAGCTGGGATGTTTTTCCATCCCACTTTCTCGATTTCAGCTTCATTATCGTATACAACAACTACTTCATCGACTTTATTATCCGATAATGTATCATGCAATTCAAGAATTTCCTCTGTGGGCTCATGTGGAATAGATTTCACCGAAACTTCAACCTCATCAACATTAGTATCCTCATTCAATCCCAGATTACGAAGAAGCTTCTGTACTTTCATCGGTTTTAACAGCTGTCACTTCGTTCAAGTTCTTGATTTCGTATTCAATTTCATCGATTCTTACAACCTCAATTTCTGCACCCTCGTCAATCTTATCTTCAATTCCAACAAACTCCAACTTTTCGACATTATATTCAACAATTTCTGCCTCAATGCCCTCTTCACTCTCGCCATTTTCTTCTTCGTAAATTTCCACCTCATCAACCTCAATGTAACTATCACCAACTTTTAACCAATCAGCGCTACGCATTTCCATACCGATGAGCTCAAATGTTTCTTTCTTAATCGTAGGATAACTTTCAGTGAGATTTCTCCAAAGGGCGGCTGATTGAGTTGGCATAGTTGACAGAGAATTCATCGAACAAATATACGAGGTCGACAAGAAACAAGCAACCAACGTGAACGCAAGTTTAACCACTCCTTTAAAACACCATCCTCTCTCCTTAATTTCTTCTTCTTCTTCTTCCTCCTCTTCTTCCTCAAGATTCTCTTCATTTTTCATCTTTAAAAAATTTTCTTTAGCAGGGGAAGATAAAGAAGAATCTTTGACTTCCTCAACTGACGAAGCAGACTCAACTTCATCACTAGCCTCCTTAGACTCGAAGGAGCTATCCAAATCCTGTTTTTCTAGCCGATTAAAAATCTCGTGACGCCTATTTGGATTAAACCGTAAATATTTAGGCCTAGGGGATAGGTAATTCCTCTGAGGATCATAGCCCTTATCAGGCTCAGACGACGCATGATCGTAAGACGAAATTACTATCCTAGACGACGACCGACTGGCAAGACTATTACTACTCATAACGAAATACGATTTTTCGACATGGTCTTCGGAATCGGAATCGTTTCTTTCGGATAGAACTTTCTTTCGAGATGCAGCCTTCGAAGATGCAGATATGGTGGGTGACATGAAATGTTTGGGGGCCATTTTCTTAAACTTGGGGGTTGTTTTATCTTGACTTGATTCGTTCTCGTTATTCTCTCCTGAAACCCAAATTAAATCAAGATTCAATTTTTAGGTCATTTCAACAATTTTTAGGTAAAAAACCCCAATTACAGAAACCCTAATTTGCAATTTTAGCACATTCTCGATTAACAGGGTTGTCGAAAACATGGAGCAAAAAAATTGAAGAATTATAATCACGAAACAAAAGTCTATTAAAAGGGTTCTTTGTTCTTACCAGTAGATGAGGGTTTTGATGGAAACGACACCGTTTCAGAAGCCACCATTTTCATTCAAATATTCTTCCAAGAATTGGAAATGATTTTACTTCTTGATGCAGTTTCGAAGAGGGCAGTTGAATTGTGTTTAACAGCTGATGTGTATGGATTCAATAAAGTGACCGTTGGGGGATTTGGATTTGAATTTCTGTGTTTCTGACCGTTGGAGAAGTGACGCAAGCCTGTCACGTGCCAAACGGCTAAACGAGGGCAAAATAGTAATTATACATTGTTTAAATGTAAGAGGCCTTGAAGGAGAACCCAACTCAAAAGCCCAACAATTAGGCCCAGGAAATTTTTTAACCGGCCTCAATTTTTTACCCATTGAATAATATTAGATTTACACTTTAGCCATGATTTTTAGGGTAAATTACAATCGCCCCCTGAGGTAAGGTATATTTACAAACAATGCCCTTTATTTTTCCATAATTAAATCTTACACTAGAACCTTTTTGTTGGGGGTTGAATGTAAGAAAGTTGCAAACTACATGGCTTGGATGTATTTTTTTAGAAACAAGGGAATTTTTCCGAGGGAGGTGATTGTAATTTACCCTAATTTTTAAGTGTCTCTTTAATCTTTCCATATTATTTGTGTGTTCTAGAGTTTCAATGCAAATGTATATTTACTTCTTGCCAATTTTACCATTTATTATTATTGAGTATTTGTATGAGAAAAAAATAATATTTAATAATTTCTTAGTATGGGTAAAGATTATTTTTTCTTCTTTTTCTATTGACATAGATGTTATTTGTTTGTTATGATTCTTATTTTTTGTGTGTTTAGTATTTACCTTGAACGACTACTAAAATGAAACATCCGTCGTTTATTTTATTCTTTTATACAGATTTATATGTTATCGAACAAATTTATCTTATGTTTCATAAAGGAAAATGATACGATCAAATCATATAGTCAGTGGCGAAGCTAGCATAGGATCAGGAGATCTATGTCTCCTTCCACCGAAACTTAAAATTCTGACTTCGCTAATGGAATAGATGACGTATAGACATAATATAGAATACATCTATATATAGAATCTAATCCATGTTTTTTTTTTCTTTCGATTTTTAGCACATTTCCTAGGTCTCACCCCACCCTCAATGCACATCTATTTTCAATAGTGCAGTTCTAGGGTTCTTAATTTATCCACAATTCCAAAAATACCCATCTTCTCTAAGTGAAATGCCAGCTCCCAAGAAGGTCAATATTGAGACTTTTTTGTTTCAAATTTTGTCAAACTCTCATTAATTATTAGGGCTGTGAAATTAATGCCTTATTTTGACTATTTAAGCAGCCGTTACATAGAAAAATCCGATTTTTTTTTTTTATTTTCTTCATTTTTTTGGATTGAAATTGGAATTAGTTTTTGCAGTTCTGACGAATAATTTTTTTTTCTCGAAAATGCTAATTCTGATTCGATCCGTCAGATTTTAACCAGAAAATTATTACAACAAGTTATTATAATATGATCAACAATTGGTAAAATAATTATGAAAATAATTAAATAATGTATTAGTAAAGAAATGCTTGCACCAAAGTTTCATTGACACCAAACCCACTATTCAAAATTCAAAAGTTTTTCAAACTACTAAATAAAAAATTGTTAATCGTCTCGATTTGCATTAACTAATGACGTTTAGTGTATTTTAATGCAGAATATTTTAGTATTATTATTCTTAAATCTCTTCAATTAATGCTGATTATTTTAATTGTGTTAAGCTTTGATTTAGAGATAAGATGACGATTGCATTGGCGAAATGGACCAATCACCTCCCGTGTTCTTCTTGGAATAAGAGCTTATTTTATTTACATAAAATTAATTAGTGATTAGTGTTTGAATTAGAAGAGACATGCCTCGTAATATAGAGCTAATCTTTATTTAACTAGTTTGTTTCAATTTCAATTTTTTACTATTTAATTAATATTTAGTTGTGACCAAAATATTCAAAACTTGGATTTTAAATTATACGATTTATAAATCTCGATTTGAAAAATATTATCTTATATCATATGTACAACATAAACTCGAAAAATTAATTAATTATTTAATATACTAAATTATTAGTTCGATAGTTTAATATTTCGCTAATTAATATAATTTTATTAGTTCCGACTGTATTATTTTATATAGATTTACATGAAATACATATTTTGAATAAAAACATCATATTCTTATTTTTAATCCTATTCTCAATAAACTAATACTTGGTAATGTATGATGTACAGGAAAAACTCGATTATGCATGATGTTAAGTAAAAACTCAATAACCCCGCTTAAATAATAAATTACCACGGTCCCGACTTGATGAAATTATTAACTCAATAATTTAATATTTTATAAATTAATAGAATTATTAGTCTGAACTCTATTAATTTGTAGAGTTTTAACTGTATTTGGTAGGGCTGGGACTGGGTTGGGTCGGTCGATTACCAGCCTAAAAACCGACCCATCCGTCAAACCACTTTTGCTCAAATTTGAAAACCGTTGCCGACCCAACCTTTGTGGGCCGGTTGATGGTTGGCAACCGAATATTTGGTTCCGGAATGGGTCGGTTGATGGTTTATACCCGCCACCTAGTTCACTTAAAAAAAATCAAATTTTGAAGTAAAAATATCCACATTTTGCGTAATGCTACGGTGCGATCATCATTTAACAGTTCAAAATAATTAATAATAATTTAACGAAAAAATATAATTAGGAAATTCAAAGTCATTTCAAACATGCACATAAGATTTAGTGGAGTTTTGTGGTCTTTTTGTTTAAGCTTGGGCATAAAGAAACTGGTTGAAGATTTATGTCAATTTTTTTTCCTTTGTTGATTGTTTTAAAATTTAAAATACTAATTATTTTGATAATTTCAATAACCACTTAAGAAAACACGGCTTTTATTTTATATTTTTAATAAAATTTTAATATTATAGTTGGATAACCGATAATTATCGGTCAACCAACTTTTGATAATATTAGAAACCACCAACCGACCCATTACAGATGGGTTGGTTGAAATTTTCGACCCGATCAAATGGGTCGGTTAAAAATTGATTATCCGCCTAAAAAAATGGTCGGTAATGGGTCGGTTGGTGGATAAAAACCAACCCAGTCCCAGCCCTAGTATTTGGATACTCACAAATTATAGTAGTACCCGAAAATAAAAATATATACAGGGGCAATTTGGGAACTAACATAATAAATAACCCTTGTGAACTCGATACAAGAGATCGATTTCCGAATGTATAAAAGCAGTCAAAGAAAGCACAATTACCAAAACAACCTCACATTGATGTCTTTTTAGCAACTAGGTACAGTACTACTACAACAATTTTCAAGAGATCCCCCCACGAAAAACACTAATGAAAATCAAACACTAATCATTACATGACAAAATGAAAATCTGGACCAATAATCTTTCAGTAAATTTTCTTCAAAAATCTTGAACTCCACAAGAACACGCCACGTGTCGGTACGTAAAAGGGTAAAAAGGGTTACTACAAAATTAACCTTAAAAGCTGGAATGAAGCGTTGGGGGTGAAGAAAAAGAAGAGAGGAAAAGGTAAAGATGATTTGTACTTTTCATCCGTAAAGAGAATCTAATTTTATTCCATATTCGCCTCAGAAGGTAAATAGAATGTGGACACTTTTTTATTTGGATTTATCTTATGTGTATTAGCTTATCAGTTCTTAAAATAACTTATCGAATATAAGAGCTTATAAATTGTTTAACTATCTAGAATTGTCCTAATTAATATATATGTTGTCCTAATTTTCAAATGTTGGCCTAAGATGATTTGAATTAGATGTGAAAAATGTAGTGGAATTTTCAAATTTTGATGGTTCCGGAATCTTCGATCCGAAAATTTATGACTTCTGAAATAATTTTCTCGATTATGGTTTTATGTTTCTTTTTTTCCCTCTCTTTTATTGGAAGTGAAATAAGTTCAAATAAATGGGTCCGGCCCTTAACATGATTCTTGTAGTTATAACGACTCGTAATTTACTCAGACCTCGTTTGGTTTTCAAGATAAGCCCTATTTGGTTGCCAATATAAGCTAAAATAACTAAATGATTGGACGTAATTTGATGTTGGTATCCTTAATAAATTGCCGGGTCGACCCGCCAAAATTATATAATCATGGCTTATCTTGCCTTCTAATGAGTTTTTGTTGTTGGAGGTTTCAAGCTCTAATAAAATAATTAGGTTACATTAGATTATTTTAATCTTATTTAGGCGAATCTTATCTTGCCAATCAACCGGGGCCAATATTCAACTATTTTATTCGATCTTGGGACATCCAACAAAATATTTGCGGGTCTGCCCGATAAGTTATTGAAGATACCATATATCAAACAAAGTCCAACTATTTTAATTAATAACGACTAATTTTTCCAGCCAAACGAGGCTTTACTAAATAACGGACAACATATTAGAAGTGTATTTATTGCAAGCATTTCCACTTGGAAATGTTTATGAAATTACCCATGCTGGGATATAAAATTTGAAAATTTGACATAAATCAAATTAAATTTCTACACAATAGTTATTGTACAAGCATTAGAATATTCTTTTTTTCATTTACTCCCTCCGTTTCAAATTAACTGTCGCTTTGGGGGTTTTTTCTTGTTTCAAATTATCTGTCACTTTAGAATTTCAATGATGCATTAATTACTATTTTCTCAATTTTACCCTTATTACTATTCATTAATTGATTGAAAATTAATGGAAACAACATTAATAATATGGATATTTTAGTCATTCTATATACTTTTCTCTAAAATCGATGCATATTTATTAATTTTCTTAATATGTGCGCAACAACCCAAAACGACAGATAATTTGGCATGGAGGGAGTATTTATTACTCCCTCCTTCCCTCAATAGTTGTCACTTTGGTTAGTTGCACACATATTAAGAAATTCAATAAATATGTATAGATAGTAACAAAAAGTATAGTAAATTACTAAAATGCCCATGCCATTAATTAATTTTTAAATAATTACATTTCAATTAATTATGAGTGAGAAAGGGCAAAATTGAAAAATTGCAATTAATTATTCATTGGAATAGTAAAATGACAAATAATTTGAAATATGAAAAAATGGCAAAAGTGACAAGTATTAAGGGAAGGAGGGAGTAATAATTATTATTTATTTGTGGATGGGAATATATCCACAGCCTCTCAATTACCAAGGGCAACTGTCATGTTGCAAAACCAAACACCAATTGAAAATTGTGTGTGTCTCTCTCTCTCTCTAAATAATGTGCATCCCAAAATTAAAAGATGGGCTTTAGACCAAAGTCACGTGGAACTTCTAATACTCACACTAAAAAAACAATAAAATAAAAAATAAAAAATAAAAAATAAATTGAATATAAAATTAGTGGGAGCGGGAAAACAAGTTTTTATAACATTCAAATTGCTATCATTTAATTTCAACATAATTTGGTCAAGTAATAATGTAATATACACCAAGCACTCTTCTTCTATTTCTTCACTTGTCAAACATAAACATAGACAAAAAAAACATAGAGAAGATCTTAAATTGTTCCATTCTCTACGGATAAAATTAAAAACGACTAATCTATGCGATAATTAAAAAAAAATTAAAAGAAAAAAAACAGTTAAAATTCCAAGTCCTCTTCGACTTGAGAACAAGCTTTATGCATTCTAACACCGCTAAAGCTAGTCCTCGACGCCATTATCTCGTTCAACGAGAGCCTCTTCTTTGGGCCCACATCGGGCCTCTGTCGTGGGGCGCTGTGCGACCTCAACTTTGCCCTGAACGACTGCGTGTTCGCCATGTAGCTAGGGCAGTTACTATTCGAGTACGGCCTAAAGAAGTGGTCCCCACACAAGCTCTTAGCGGGGGTGGCCGGAGCGTGGGCTCGGCCCGAACATGCGAACCGAGGGGTATTTTGGGCGGTGGGGAATTTGTAATCCTCCCGAACGTACCCCCAGTCGAATTCTTGGAGTTCTTGGAGGTGGCGGCAATCGGGGATCGACAGACGGGCGGGGATTTGGTAGTACTGATCGTCGCTGTGTTCCGACATGCAGGAGTTGTTGGTGGTCATTCTACGAGACCTCGATTTGTGGGCCCCGCACGTGTCGATTTCAACTATCTTCGGGCTTTCGTCGTACGAGTTGTTGTTGACGGACGAGTCGTAAGACGATGATAGCCTCTTGCTATGGAATTCGCTCTCCTGAAAAAAAAAAAAAACATTAACATCAATCAATCAATCAAATTCAAGAAAATAAAAAATCAAGAACATGTAATAGATTCTTACGGTAGAATTTCTTGCCCGAGATTCGGTATTGATCGAGCGGCGGGCCCGTTGGGCCCGAACTGAAGTTTGGGCCCGAAAAAGGGCCTGCATGCTGTGGAGAGTTGCAGCTGCACGCTTCCTCACAAGGTACCCTCTAACAAGGGCTTGCAATTTCACCAGCCCTTTTAGCGCTCTTAATGCTTTTCGGGCCTGATTAAAAATAATAATATAATATTCAAATTTCAAATATATATATTCAGAAAAATAGAAACCGAACCGCCGGAATATTCCAAGGAATCTTACCAAATAGCCTCTAAAAACGGATTGAATCCTTGCAGCAGCCCATTTCTCTCTGCCGCCGCCGCCGCTAAACAGAGCACCACCACCCTTCCCCTGGCTGGTGAGCCTGACCACCGCCACGGCGGCATGAGCGGCGGCGACCGCCGCATCAGCGGCGGCAGCGGTGGCGGCGGCGACAGCAATCGCGTGTTTGTTCTGCTCCTTCTCCGAGTCGGTGAAGTAACTAGATCTCAGCCACGGCGAGTCACTCGCCGGAATATTCCCGGGAGGAATCTTGCTCAACCCGACTGAATCTTTCCTCGGCTCAGCAAAACTACGTCGTTTCTTGTCCTTCTTATCGCCGCCGTTTGAATTGGTCTCCACATTTTCTTTATCTTTCTTCATTCCGAGCAGCCCCCTCAACCACCGTGTAGCTTTTCCCATCTCTTTTTATTTCTTTCTTTCTTTACACAGAGAAGATAACAGAATTTTTTATAAGTATAAAAATTGAATCTTTTTTTTTTTTTACACACAGTAAAGTGTGAAACTGTGAGAGAGACACTTGGAATCTATCTTACATGGTGGGAGCAGAGAGATAAGAGTGTGGAGGAAAATGGGTTATTACAAATGGCAACAAACCTTAAAATAGTGGAGTGATAAACATTGTTTATTATATATTATATTTATTTTTTTGAAATGAAAAAATTTATCCTGACAGAAGCTCGTGAGGAACTGTATTACAAGACAAAAAGGCATCTCAGTAGGGAAACCAATTTAAAAATGGTGTCATAAAGGGTAAGAAAAAGAAAGAAAGAAAGAAAAAGTTTGAATCTTTCATCTTACCAAACAAACAAGAAATTACAGACAAAATCAGTGTAAAAGCTTGAATTAAAAGAGGGCAATGATCACTAATTAGTAATAAGAGAGGGAAAGTAGAGAGAGACAATGAAACATCCACCTCCTCCACCAATCATGAAAACACAAATTAATTCAAGAAACTAAACATAGTTAATGTCAAATTACGAAAAAAAATTATGACCATTTTCTGAATTATGAATTTTCTTACACGTCCATCTTTATGGTATCGAATTCAAAATAATTTTCTAGATTCTGCGGAACGGTCTCTAGTTTGTACTCGTTTTGTGAAAAAAATTCAATTTCAGATGCATCACAATCTAATATTTACAAGCCAAGAAATACATTTTATGATCGTCTTATTTCGAAATGTGGAGCTCGAATGGGTAAAACGGATACAAACTGAAGAATATTTCACATAATCTACAAGATTCCACTAAATTTGATGCCGGAAGGATAGACGTGCAAAAAGATTCATATTTGATGAGGGTGGTTGTAATTAACCAAAGAAGAGTATTTTTTTTTTCTTCGTAATTTAACATTACCACAGCCGTAATTTTATGCAACATCAAATCATGCTAAAGAGAAATGTCCCACAAAATTCAATGAAAAAAGTAATAAGCCTACTCAAATGCTTGTTAGAAAGTTTCACGAGAGGAAACTCATTAACTTTTCAAATTCAAAAAAGGCAATTAAAACCTATATATAATACAACCCTACTACAATACATCTCTCTCTCTTTCTCTCTCTAAAATAAGAGAGTAGGTTGCACGCACCTGTACAAACTCAGAGTCTCGTAATGTAATATCACTTTCAACTGTTAAAGACTGAAAATGAATGATGAATATATATATGGGGTGTTCTGATGAATTCTGATGCATAATGATTATTTATTTGTGTGTACATTAGTACACTTTGTGTGTGTGTGTGTGTAGCCCACAATAAATATAAAAGCCACTTACCAAATTGAAAGCTGTTGAATTTGATGTCTCCTTCCTTTGTACTTTGCCTGAAGGAATGCTCTGCTGCTTATAGGCAAATAAATATCTTCTGAGTTTTGGGGTGGGTTTTTATGACAAGTTATAAATCTAATGGGGTTCTTTTTTAATTTTTAATTAATGAGTGTGAAATTAGTAATAGTTGTTAAGTTTTGGGTCCGTAAATAACTATTATGATTGGGCCGGGCTTAGTTATTATTCAACGGCCCAATTTTAGAAAATTGTGCACTCCAAGTCACTCAAGTCCCAGTCCAGCGGAGTCAACCCTTCTTGATCTTGACGGTCCATATTATATGACTATATTTTGGACGTTCCCTCACTCACATAAAACATCTCTCTCTTCCCAATCGTAATTTATTCAAACTGTTTTTTTCCGGCAACTCTTTGCATAATTTTCGCCGTACATGAGCTGACTTTGACTCGGAGGCAGTTTTGCTGTCTCGAACCGTTGGTTTCGTACCTATTTATACTGTCCATAGAGAGATAAATGTAACAATTTACTGTTTACTTCTTTCAATCTTATTATGCGACTGTGAGTGATTTAATTTATGTTTGAGAGAAAATTGGAGTTTAACTGAGAGTACGAGTGTTTCTTTTGACTGGTTCAATATGCATGTGTTAGTGTCAGCTCAATATGAAAAAAAATAACATAATTATAAATTATGTTTTTTTAATTACTTTAGAGTAGTTTCATATACTTTGTTGTCCAATAAACCCGAAATTTCAATACAATAAAATCTTGGTTCAATCCAATTTGCAATTTAAATAAAATTTTAATGTATTCTTTTAACAATTAATTTACTTTTTTGGGTTCTTGTTTTCAGCCTCAAAAGTTGGAAAGTATTTGGACCAAATTAGGACTCTTAAAAGAAGAAAGAAGAAAAACAAGTCCAAATATAAACTCTACCGGCCCACTAGCCCACGAGTCCACGATCTACTTCCACGTGGCCACGACCCACTTCCACGTGGCCACCACACTCCTCAAATTTCCCCCAAAAAAAAAAGAAAAAAAAGAATAAAAGGAAAGATTAAAAAAATATATATATATTTGCCTTTTAATTCGGTGATATTCCACGTCATCACCACCAATACTACAATCGAAGGAATTCTTTCCCCTTCCAAACTCATAGAATTCACGCGCAAAATCGTTCCTCCTTGTCCGAATAGGAAAGTTTTAGGGCTTTTAATTGGCTAGATCCACGAGACTTGCTGCCCAATTCTCCTCTATATAAGGGTTCAATGCGCTCCAGTTTATGGGGTTTATTCCTTTTTTATTTTTGATTTTTCCTTGATTGATTTACGAATTTCGTTTGTGTGCGGTGATCTGAGTTTCTGATTCGAAGTATTGGGGGTTTAGGTTTTTGCTCGTTTGCCGGACTTAGGTTTAAATTAGGTTTTTGGGTTAGGTTTTTGCGCCGGTTTTTTTTTTTTAGTTTGGAGATATGGCTGGCTCAAATAGTCCGAATTCGTCCGTTTCCTCGCCGCCGCCGCCGCCAGAGCAAAATCAGCCGTCGAAGCATTGGGGGGTGACGAAATCGTTGTCTCATGTGGGGCCGACCAATGTTGATATTCATAGAAATAGGGAGTTGCAGAAGGTTGGTTTGCGTGATACTTTTTTTTTTCTTTTTTAATTATTATTAGAACAATTTATTGAAAATTTTAATTGCTGATTGTTATTTTGGATTTTAGTTTTTGCTGGATTCGGGAATTTATGAGAGTGCGGAAGAATCTGCGAAGAGGGAACTGGTTCTCGAAAAACTTAAGCAGGTATTATTGCTACTTCCATTAACTATTTTTTTTCGTCCTCGTTTCGTGTTTCACCGTTTCTATAACGTCGACTTCATATTAACTCATTGGCTTTGCTTAAACTGAATTAATCCTGTTGCTGTATTGTAGATTGTGAAAGTTTGGGTGAAACAGCTTACTCGGATAAAGGGATACAGTGATCAAATGGTGGAAGATGCCAACGCCGCTATTTTTACCTTTGGTTCGTATAGACTCGGGGTAAGAAACTTCGTAAGTCTCTTGTCTGTTTTCGTTCTTTAGTTGCCCGTGTGTCCGACAACATATGTACTAATTTGACACGCTTGTTAAATTGTTTCTCTATATTATATTTTAGCAATTTAGTTTTGTAGTTTTTATTTTATTTTATGCAGTCTTAATTTTCTTGAATTTTTCTTGTTCTGTTTTGTTAGTTTTTTACATCTGTATTTTAACCTCTGGTGTGGTTTTGCAGGTACATGGCCCTGGATCTGACATTGATACTTTGTGTGTTGGGCCATCCTACATTAATCGCGAGGTACTTTCCGCCTGCAAACTTTTCATTTTGGATCTTTTGTATATATCTTAAATATGCTCTGATCGGGATTTTGCTTTGCCAGGAAGACTTTTTTTATGGACTCCATTGCATTTTAAACGAGATTGAAGAAGTTACCGAACTCCAACCAATACCTGATGCCCGTGTGCCTGTTATGAAATTCAAGTTTGACGGGATTCCAATTGATCTCCTATATGCAAGCGTTTCTCTCTTGGTTGTTCCAGACGTAAGTTTTCAAGTTTCTTGTATATAAATATCTAGCAGTACTTAACTGGAATTACTTTTATTATTGTGATACGTCTTCCTTCACATTTTTTATATCGTATACAGTGGATTGCTTTATAATGGAAATAAACTGCAGACGTTTATGTGCAAATTTAGATATAATGTGTTGTTTTTTTGAAACTTCGCTGACATAAAATTACTAATATCTGCCAGGATTTCGACATCTCAAATATATCTGTGTTGTACAACATCGACGAAACAACTGCATGTAGTCTTAATGGATGCCGAGTAGCAGATCAGATTCTCAAACTTGTTCCAAACGTTGAGGTAGGTATTTTACCACCGATGTTTGTGGTCTTCTGTTAGCCGTCTTTTATGTATGCTACCCTTTTACTTCTTTAGTGTTTTTAGTTGCCTAACTCATTATCCTTTTGCGCAGAACTTCCGGACGACACTGCAATGCCTAAAGTTCTGGGCTAAGAGACGTGGAATTTATTCGAATGTAAGTAATATTTATTTTAGCTTTACTATTTTATTTCCCCATCTTTATGGGATATTTAATGTTTGGTTATCATTGTGTAACATAATTTTAACTCTATTATCTCAGGTGATGGGGTTTCTTGGTGGTGTGAACTGGGCTATTCTTGTGGCTCGGCTGTGTCAATTTTATCCCCAAGCAAATCCGAGTATGTTAGTGTATCGTTTCTTCAGAGTCTATACGATGTGGCGTTGGCCAAATGCCGTGACACTTTGTGAAATAGAGCACAATGCACTTGGATTTACTGTATGGGATCCTCGTATAAATGCTTGGGATGGACTGCATCTCATGCCAATTATTACCCCTGCCTACCCTTGCATGAATTCTAGTTACAATGTTTCAGCAAGCACTCTCCGCGTTATGTTGGAACAGTTCCAATTTGGTAAAAATATCTGCGAGGTAAAATCTCTTTCCACTTTTTTTTTGGTTGTGCAAGTATTTCCGACTATTAATCATCTGCCCTTTACACTTATTTACAGGACATCGAGCTGAATAAATTGAAGTGGAGTGCTTTGTTTGAACCATATTCATTCTTCGAAAGCTACAAAAACTTTCTGCAAGTTGAAATGATTGCTTCCGATCTTGATGACTTGCGTTCTTGGAAAGGTTGGGTTGAATCTCGTCTAAGACAGCTAATTCTGAAGGTAATACGGCAATCCAATCCTAACTACAGTATTCTTTGACAAGTGTAGGTAATCTTGTTATTTCCTATATATGATTTTTTATTTATTGAAATGTGTGCAGATAGAGCGCGACACCGGTGAAATATTACAGTGCCATCCTAATCCACGTGACTATGCGGATTCTTCAAAGCAGTGCGCTCACAGTGCCTTTTTCATGGGCTTACAAAGAAAGCAAGGAGAGGTGGTACAAGAAGGCCAGCAGTTTGATATCCGTAAAACAGTTGATGAATTTAGGCATCAAATAAAGTCCTACTTGTACAGGAAACCTGGCATGGAAATATACGTTTCTCATGTTCGTAGAAAGCAAATTCCCTCTTATGCATATCCAGAGGGCTACAAAAGAAACAGAAATACCAAGCCCATTAATGAGGTACTACAGGTTGATAAGATGTCTACAGTAAGTGTACTAAAACGGAAAAAAATTGACGGACCAGAGTTGGAGCGAAGCCCAGAGAAACGGGCTTCTGTTGGTCCTAAGCTGCAAGATTCAGTTCTGTCCGAGCGTATTTGTGCAAGAAGTTCAGTGGTGGAAAAGGCTTCAATGATTCGACCGTGCGTGTTTGTGGATGGAGTGAATAAACAAGTGGACCCCACGATTTTAAAGAATGTGCGCCTCGCATCTAATGGGAGAGACATGAAGCTTGATAGGGATAAAGAGGTAAACAAACACATTTTTCTTTAATTTAATTTTAATTTTACTACTTTTATTGGTATCGAAGAAATAATCGTTCTGTGTTGCTTTTGTTCTTGTGAAGCCTAATGCTACGGTTGCAATGGTTCTCAAATCTGGTGAAGGAGTTGGATCGGAGCTTGTGCAGACGAATGTGATGAGGCATGTTTACAAACAATTGAGAACTCCATGCATTTTTTAACTTCTATTGAGAAATCGATATTTTTTATTATTATTTTTTTTTTATTTCGTCTTCATGCTTCTTTTACTTTTGGTTCTTTTGATACCAAATGCAGCAACAGGTTAAGTCTTACTTCAAATGCCTGAACGAAAGAAGATATCGGTAGAACGCGCACCGTTTACATTACTGAAAAGCCAGCATATCGGGTAAGTATCGAATTTGTTGCTGGATTTCATACATTTCTTATATGTCCAGGCAAATCTTCGATTCTTGAGAGGAAGAACGAAAAATCAAGCAGCAGCAAATCCTTCCCTAGACTTTCTTCTGACATGCTATAACATGTACAGTTACTGAATTATAAAAAGAACAAAAAATGAAAAAAAATGAGAAAAAAAACGAGAAAAAAAAAATAGAAAAAGAAAAGAATCTCGTATTGCGAAAGTTATCGAGGGTTCAATGTGCTCTTGATTTCTTGGGCTGATATTTAGTGGATTTTCGACTAAGATTAGGGTTTTGCTTTGGTGGTTAATGAGGTTTGACCTCATTTTTTGCAACTGTGCTAATTTTGACTTTGTAAATCAGTAACATCTAATGACATTTTTTTATATATTTAACAGTTTTTGGTACTCTGGTTTCCTATTATGGTGGGTTTTATACTCTTGCATTTTCAAGTTTACAAAGAAAAATAAAATTGATTTACACTTTAATTGGGAATGAGTAAATGAAAGAAAATATGTTTTGGATATGAGTTAATGTCTGTGTACATAATTATAAAATAAAACATAAAAAAATCGGTTGGACCCAGTTGAATCAGGGTCAAAGTCCAACCGTCACCTATTAGCTTGTTCGGTTCGATTTTCAAAACATTGAATTATAAAATATGCATAATCTATTTATTGCCTGCTAAATTTTATGAGATGAAATAGTACACCCTTTCCACTAAATATATATACACATGGACGTGTGTGTAATTACATGCACATCAACGGTTGGTAACCATCCGACCATCCGACCCGACATATGTCAGTGTGTATAACATCAAATAAACCCTAAAGTTATGTTATTAGAGCTACCAACTTTCTTTTTTTTTGGAAAAGTAATTTAAATATCAATAGAAATTGAAATTACAAGAGTAGGCAAAGTGGAATATCTAAATATTAGCATGCATTCTGAAAATATCGCCACAACGCTATTGACAAAATAAAACATTGAGACAAACATTCCATGCTATACTTCTCACGTGCCAACTTCAATTTGGTAAGAAAAAGTTAAAAAATCACAACAAAAATCTTTTCCCCAATTACAAAAATAAAAATAAAAATAATAAAATAAAATAAAGATAATAAAAGATGTAAAATAAAGCTCCCTAAAATAGCGACCAAGGAAAGCTTCGTTACCGGAGAGTTTCATCAGACAAAAGAAAAACCATTAATCCACACAAAAATATTTTCAGAGGTTTTCCTCTCTCCAATTTTTTTTTTTTGAGGTCAGTCAAAAATCCTCCCCAAACCGCCATTGATTTTTCCTTCAATTTCTGTCAATTTCTTCCCTTATCCACTCCGAAAACCCCTCTATATAGTTTCAATTTTTTTTATTTTTTTTTTAATCTTAATCGGTTAAAAAGTTTAATTCGGAAAATGAAGGAGGGAATGGGGAAGGTGGCGGTGGGTGCGGCCGTGATCGGAGCTGCCGCGGTGGTGGGTGTGGCGGCGCTGGTGGTTAGGCAGCGGATGAAGACTTCCGGTAGGTGGGCACGTGCTATGGGTATTGTGAAGGAATTTGAGGAGAAATGTGGGACCCCCGAGGGGAAATTGAAGCAGGTTGCTGATGCATTGACTGTTGAGATGCATGCTGGGTTGGCATCTGAAGGTGGAAGCAAGCTCAAGATGCTTATCAGCTATGTCGATAGTCTCCCCACTGGGTAAATTCAAATCGATTTTTTTTCGATCTTTTTTGTTATTTTATTTATGATGATTGAATTGTGATTGTTTGTTGAGAATGTGGGGGATAATGTAGATCTTGATATTTTTCTGGAAAAGGGAATTTGGAGCAGTTTTGAGTTGTTCAGCTGATTCGAATTGAGTTGGAAATTGTTTATTGTTGAATTGGTAATTGCAGAGGAAATTTGAGTGCTCGTGTTTTTCGTTTTTTGGAATTTTTGATTTGCTATAGTATGGGGTTCAATTCCAGCTGCAAGAGATTACGATAAGTTACTGAAGTGGATTTAATGAAGTGTAGTTTGTTGTCATAATAAAATCCAAGCTCCAGCTAACAAAAAATTAGGTTTCTTTATTGAACTTTATGCAGTGGTTTATGGTGCAGTTGATTCTTTCACTTTAATCATCGATGGAACAATAAATAAAATTCATAGTAATTTACAATGTATGTTCGCTAAGCATGATCTGCTTTTGCTTCTTCCTATCTTGATTGTAACTAAAACAATTTTTTGTATTCGCGTTTTATTCTGTCTTAGCAATGAGAAAGGAGTTTTTTACGCACTAGATCTCGGTGGAACAAATTTCCGAGTCTTGCGAGTTGAATTAGGAGGCAGAGAAGAGGGTATTATTCATCAAGAATTTGCCGAGGCATCAATCCCCCCTGCATTAATGTGTGGGAATTCAGATGTAATAAACTATTTCATTCCGAACACTCAATTTTTGTTGCTTTGGTATATATTTTTCCAGGCATCACCGAACATTTCAAGATTTAAAAAAAATGATTATATTTGCAGGCACTTTTCGATTATATTGCAGAAAAACTCGCGAGTTTTATCGACGAAGAAGAACAAAGATTTCATCAGCCAGCTGGCAGGCAGAGGGAACTGGGTTTCACTTTCTCGTTTCCCGTGATGCAAACTTCGATAAATTCCGGAACTCTTATTAGGTGGACCAAGGGTTTCTCCATTGATGACGCTGTAATTTCTCTCTCCTCAGATCATTTTTTTTCCGTTTATTGTAAAAAAAATGCATTTTTTAATTCTGATAAAAAGTCTAAAATGTTTATTAGGTCGGCCAAGATATCGTTGCAGAACTAACAGAAGCCTTACGAAGAAAGGGTGTTGAAATGCGTGTAGCAGCCCTGGTGCGATATTTTTTCTTTTGCTACTGAAATAGTGACACAAAAAAGATCGAATATATTCCAATATGCCCATGTTTTAAATGTGCGATGAAATAAATATACTAGGTTAATGATACAATCGGGACATTAGCTGGAGGAAGATATACAAACAACGATGTTGCTGTAGCAGTTATATTGGGGACAGGAACTAATGCTGCTTACGTGGAACGTGCACAAGCAATTCCCAAGTGGCACGGTCCTTTGCCTCAATCTGGCGAAATGGTAATAAAATTACTTCGTTTTTTTTATTACATTATAAAATCTAAAATTAAAAAAAGAAAGAAGGGATAATCTATGCTTTTTTATGTTGTGATAATATTCCAGGTTATAAATATGGAGTGGGGTAACTTCAGGTCATCGCATCTTCCGCTTACTGAGTATGACCATGCATTAGATGTCGAAAGTTTAAACCCTGGTGAACAGGTGCGATAATTTACAAATTTTTACTATTAATTAAATTCGATTATAGTGGAAATGATTACCCTGGCTAAGAATATGCTCTTTGCTCCGTCTGTTTATCAATTTCTCGTTTTTTTTTCTCCCAGATATTTGAGAAGTTAACTTCTGGAATGTATTTGGGGGAAATTTTACGGAGAGTTTTACTTAAGATGGCTGTCGAAGCCTCCTTCTTCGGTGACGTGGTTCCGCCCAAACTTGAAATTCCCTTCGTTTTGAGGTAATCCATGACGGGTTTTTTATTTTTTTATTTTTAAATTTAAATTTGAGTAAATTTATCTTACGGAATGGTGAATGTGCAGGACACCAGATATGTCGGCGATTCATAATGATTCGTCGTCTGATCTGAGAGTTGTGGGCAGCAAACTAAAGGATATATTGGAGGTAATCTATAAAAAAACAGAATGTTTAAATTTGCTTAATTGTTCAATAGCATTTATGTGTATGATTATGTAGGGGTTAGAATCGGATCGGATTGGGAGTTAAGAACTCTATTCGGATTCTGATCCGTAAATTTTAAAAAATTAGAATTGCAGAAACCGAAATAAAAATTATATTTCAGAGTCGAAAATTTTCGTTTCGAATTGGTGAATTTTGCAGGTTCATTCCAATTTTCACCCCTGAATATAACATACATAATAGATGTATATTGATATTAATATTTTAAATATTTTAAATATTTTCAAGATTTTTTTTTTGTTCTTTTAATTATTTTTGAAAAATTCAAACGAATCGGAAATGTGAAGTTTCAGAAATCATACATTATATTCACACTGCATTTTTTTTTTCTTTTTCTCCTGACTTAGATATCCAACACCTCCCTGAAAACAAGGAGAGTGATAGTCGAGCTCTGCAACATAGTCGCCACACGTGGGGCCCGTTTAGCTGCTGCCGGAGTATTGGGGGTGTTGAAGAAAATGGGAAGGGACAGCCTTACAGAAGGTGGTGAAAAGACGGTTATAGCCATGGACGGTGGACTGTACGAACACTACACAGAGTACAGAGAGTGCTTGGAAAGCACTTTGAACGAGCTAATTGGAGAAGAAGCTGCCGCCACTATTGTGGTGGAGCACTCTAATGACGGCTCGGGAATCGGAGCTGCTCTTCTTGCCGCCTCCAATTCACTCTACCTTGATCAGTAAATTTGTTTGTGAGAATTTATATTTATGTATATGTATATTTTTATTTTTATTTTTTTATTTCTAATGGCCTTTCATAATTAATAGGCTTAATAAGTTGAAGAAATCTAGTTTGAATTCTTCAGCCCAATTCTTTTGCAGAGGTGTTGTAAGAGAACTTGATTCGTGTGCTTTTATTGGTGGTAAAAAAAAGACAGTTTTACCATGACAATTGAGTAGAAAAATGTTTATGTAATGCAGAAAAAAATGTATTTTGATTTTATTATAATGTTTTTATATATATTATATATGAATCAAATGTCACAATAAGCATGACATAGTAACAAAGGCTAAACTTGTAGAGTCAATATACTATTTATTATAGTAACATTATTATGCATTTTATATTTAAACTCATGTTCCAGGAGATGTGTCCAATAATCCATTTTGTATAAATTATAGTCCATTATACACATGTTCTAACTTAGTCTAGATTTCTCTTAGAAATATATATAACCATTTTATTCTAGATATTTTCTTCTCATAAATAAATAAAAGTTTTATTATAGTCATTAGATTAAGAGAACCATAACCATTTCTTAAGATTTCGCTTGGTATAAAAAAATGAGAAAAAACTCGAAAGAATTAAGGAAATATTCGAGAGCATGGAAAGACCATTTGTTAAGATTTCACTTGGTATAAACAATGAGAAAAAACTCGAAAGAATTAAGGAAATATTCGAGAGCATGGAAAGATTTACGACAATGTTTTTAAATTTGAAAAATAACCCGCCGTCATTAATCCTCACCTTTAGTAAAAAGCCTTTAGCATGACCGGACTCACATTAAGAATCGAAAGAATGTGCGTTAAATAGCGGCGGTCACAAATGCAGTCATATTATTTGACAGCAAAATCAAGAAAAATGACATCACTATCAGCACTATGGTGTAGGAAATAGGAAGAATTAGTGATCGGACTCAAATCAGGAAAGAAATGGTCATGAAACAATCGGGACACAATAATGTTAATTAATATATTTTCTTCACAACCAGAAAACATATTCTTACTAGATTACTCGAAAATTTTGCACCATGATTATAAATATTTTGAAAGTTAGTATATGGAAAAAAAGAATCGAAAATTTTGCACCATCATTATAAATATTTTGATTTTGAAAGTTAGTATATGGAAAAAAAGAATGGGGTAGTTAAAAGTTGTGGTATTTGTATATTTGCAGTACTGGTCTCTCAGGTTATACACCAATATAAAAAAATTGGTTTGACTTTGATATTTTGTCGAGCCCAGCCCACAAGTATGCAGCCATGCGTTCGTTTGTTTTCGTTATTCATATAAAATATAATTCATTAGGGTTTACAAAAAAAACCCTAATCCCATTAGGGTTTGCAGAGTTGAGAATCTTGTCCTCATGGAAAACGCAGCAGATGAAAGAGTTGAAGATGGTGGTCGTACGGACAGGATATCGAATCTTCCGGAAGAAATACTGCACAACATACTCTACTTCATGTCGAAAAACGATACAGCTCGAACTTGCGTCTTGTCGAAACGATGGGGTTTTCTCTGGGCCAACCGGCTGAATCTTTCTTACGACGAGACATCACCCTCGTACAAAGGACCTCACCGCAGCAGATTTGTCACGAATCACCTCAATAAACAATTGAATTCTCGGAAATAATATTGAAATTGGCTGAAAGATTAATTCATTCAAAAGTGCAAAATAGGGTTTACAGTTTTGAAGAAAAAGAAGAACAAACTTGGGGATAAAGAAACCAAAACTCTACCTTATCTCTACATTAACTAAGCTAGACTAGAGTACTGATAATGCTTGCCCTCTCCTTGTGTGTGTCTGCCCATTTATAGAAATAAAGCAACGGCTCTCTCTCCTCAGCTCAGAACATGCAGTGTGCATGTGATGCTGCCCATGCTGCTTCCTCAAAACGACACCGTCTGACCTCCCTCTCTTATTGAAATAAAACGTAATAAAATTTAAAAGCGCGGACGCGTTTAAGTAAGTTAAAACAGCGTCGTTTGGAACATAATAAAAGAAAATTAAAAAACGGGTAATTCCGTTACAAGATTATTCACCTCCGACGTGACCAAAGCTCTACAACACCACCTCGATATTCGCAACAATCATCGCATCGAGGAGTTTCACCTCGTCGTATCGCATCCCAAATCGGTTCCTTTTATCGAAAAGTGGATCGAAACCCTAGCATCTCTCTGTGCGAAGGAGTTGTTTCTTGCTATTAACCCATCCGCACCTACTTCCAAACCTTTCTCGTACGTCGTTCATCTCGGCTCGGCCTTCTTTTTCAAAGCGATAACGAGCCTACATTTATTTCGATGCAAGTTGAGCCAAAACACAACCCTCGACGAGAAGATACTCTTCGATCGTCTGCAGAAACTTCGTCTGCGCGACGTGTACTTCACCGACGGACATATTTTCGAGAACATAATCACGAGCTGCCCTTTGCTCGTATCGATGTGGTTCCATGGTTCCAAGAATGTAGAGGGTTGCGTAACGTCAAGCTCGTTCACAAATATCTCAAGCACTTCGCTTTTATCAACAAGCACACTCACCAAATCGACGGATGCACGGTCGAAATCCACCACGTACCGGCGCTTGAAACGATCTACATCAGCGGCAGTAAGATTCGGTTCTGCCATGATAGGTACGGTAAACTAGAGAATCTAACCCTAAAGCTGATTAAATTCGACTCCTCTCTTCAGTGCTACAAATTCCGGCACCTTCGAACCTTTAGAATTTACGATCATTTTCCCGTGGAGCGATTTCAGCTACGTGTATCAGCCCGCTAATTGTCGAAATTTCGATTTACGGGATCCGCTATCCCATCCATCACTTTGGAACCGATATCGACAAATTATTGGAGATCGTATAAACCTTTTGGCTTCAGCTTCACGACAATTTGGACGATGTTTCGTCATGGTTCCATAGGTTAAGTACGCTGCTCCATGAATTAAGACGGTCCAAAATTTTTCTAAGTGTTGCTCAAAATCCGACAACCATTCTCGACATCGGACAAGACGTTATCGACGGTAATAATAATTATAAGCCACCTGTTGTGGTGAAGCGATTGGAATTAAGTATGGGTCATTTATCTTCGTTTCCATCTTTTTTAAATTGTTTGTTTAGTATTTGTCGTCCGACGATTATAGTTCCAAAAGAAGAAAGGGTTTCGAAGGAATTGACCGAGTTTTTGTGCAATTTTCTAACGAAGAGAGACGGTGAATTTCGCATGCAAGATGATTTGGAGAAATTCAGGATTGAAAGTTTCGATACGAGTGGACAAAAATGGCAACCGGCCATGTCAGAATGTGAGTTGCCAGAGAGTAACCGTGTCCGCTTTCGATTGAAATGGAGTGAAGCTAACTGCGAGTCGAGTCCTATGCAGTTAGATGTCACAGAATAATTGTCTTTTTTTAATTTTTATTTTACATTATATATCGTCGTTTTTTTCGTTATCTATTTATAATTGACTTGGGACAAATTTTGAAACACGGTCGTCTTTGCTTGTTTTCGGATCATTAATTTGCTTACAAGAGTTCACTTTACCAGTTTGCATGTTCGTATTTGCTTCCTTTTACGTAAATTTTTTTTGTCTATTACAAATTTTCGGAGCCCAGAGGGGAACTGGAAATCTCGTAGAAATCGGTGTTTTGCCGTTTACTTACGACAACTTCGTGAATTAGTTATACATTACCTATGTATTTTTAGCCTACTTTTATTTCGACGTTACTCCATATAGTTTACGAGTTTGTAGCATTTACTTGCTGCAAATCTCCCAATTGCGAACTTTGTAATTCACATGTTCGAGTTTTTCGCAATCGATCTCATTTTCAACGCATGCATCTATATATAATCTCAGAATTTTGCTGAATATTTTGTTCGAAAAATCGTATATATTAGTTTAGTTAAGTTAACTATCATATACAACACAAATATAGAGGGTATTTGGCATTTTGCACCTGCAATTATGTTCATTTGACACTTTGCACCCTTAAATTAAAAATATAACAGATTGCTCCCTCAAGTTTTACTTGGCATAGTGCACCCCATAACCTAAAAATAGTAGAATAAAATGATTTTGGGGGGAATGAAAGAGTAAATTTGTGAATAAATTCGCTACCAAGTACCAACCTTCTCAATTACATAAAATATTTATATTCTTCCTCGTTTACGGGCATAATTAACAATAATTGACCATTTTGCCCATTGAACTATGGTAAACTCATTTTTTCGGACGCAAATTTTGTGCAGAAAAGTATTGTCTTGGGGTGCAATGTGCCAAGAAAATCTTAATTTGAGGGTGCTATCTACCATATTTTTAACTTAAGGGTGCAAAATGCCAAATGAGCATAATTGGAGGGTTCAAAATGCCAATTACCCCAAATATATATATAATAATAATATATTAAAAAGCATTACTCAACAGAAAAGCCCAATCGAAAAGCCCATATAAAAAGCCCATTCTCTTTCATTAAAACAGAACCCTAAAAACCCTTGATATAAAAGAAACTCTCGTCGCCTCCGCTCTCATTTCTCCATCTTCAGCTCAGCGAGGAAGCCTGTTTCTGCAACTTCACAGCCATGGTAGAATTTCTCAATTCTGTTAATTCATATACGATCCTTTTTTTTTTTTTTTCATTTCTTTATCTGCTTAATTAATTGTCGATGAATTTGTGAGTATTTGATAGCAATGTGTGTGTGTGTGTAAAATGTTTTAGGGTAAGGGAACGGGGAGTTTCGGTAAGAGGAGGAACAAGACACACACACTGTGTGTTAGGTGCGGCCGCCGCAGTTTTCACCTTCAGAAGAGCCGCTGCTCCGCCTGCGCTTACCCCGCCGCCCGCAAGAGGACCTGTATGCAATTTTCCCCTCTTTTTTTCCCCGATTGTTTTTTGAAAGTTTTGATCTTTTTTTTAATACAAATGTTATGAAGTTCGTTATGCTGCATTTTATGCATTGTGATTCTTCTTATTTGATTAATTGCATCCGCGGATTAATTATTTGATAAGTATTTAACTATTTTGGATTTTAATTGCGGCATTTACATTGTTATCGAAACCATATTTTGATTTCATTGCGTAATTGTTTCTGTTAAAACTTGGAATTTAGATAACTGGAGTGTTAAAGCTATACGCCGAAAGACCACCGGAACTGGACGCATGAGGTACCTTCGCAACGTACCCCGCAGATTCAAGACCAACTTCAGAGAAGGTTTGCGATTTTTCTTAAATCTTTTGATGAATTATGAATGCTATTTTGTTTATTTATTTTATTACTGATGAGGAATTTTTGGCACGATGGATATAGGTACTGAAGCTGCACCAAGGAAGAAGGTTGCTGCTGCTTCTGCCTAAGTGTAGGCTTCTCTTGATTGTACTTTTCCATTCGTATTCCGAAAGAATTAGAGTGCAAGTTAATTTTGAAACTCCAATTTTCGTTTGTTGGATACTTAGTTTTGGTTCTGATTTTGTTGATGTACTTTGTTGGGCATCTTATTATGGATGATCAAAGACCATTTTTTTACTTATGTGCTTTCTTTCGTTATTATAACTATCTTTCTTTTCTCGGAGTGTTTGATATTGTGCTATACTGCAAAGCAACCGTCTTTTTGGGGGTTTGAACTCTGGTTCTATTACTGTTGGTTCGAGAGTTTGTGTCTGTTCTCTTTAATTTTAGCAAGTTGGTTAGGGTGCCATGCGTTAACCTTGTTGTTTCCTTTGTCGTGAATGAAGATATAATCGTTCGATTTTCAACTGAAATTGCACTAGAATAGATTAGCTGAAACATAGGGCACTCGTGTTACATGTCTATTGGTTGCAAATTAGCTATTGAGAAATGTAGTTAGTTGACTTCTATTTGATTTAAGTCTTTGATCCACGTAAATCGATTGCCTCTCTTCCGGTTCTTATTTGCCTTTTTGCTTGTTCTTTTCTTTGGCATTAGGATTAAGTTATCAACTTCGAATATGATACTCGTTCCCTGCAGAAATTTGTCCCTTCAGAGAATTGTTTATTTTTTAATCAATTATGTTACTTGAGAATTAATGCTCCATTAATTTCAATTTGAGATCAACTTTTGCGCTTCAAACAAATAGTGATGATATTTTGTGCACTCTTTATTTTGCTATAATTTATAAAGAGTAAAAAGCAGTTTGCCCCCTAAACTATGGGCCGTTTTGCACTTTGCCCCCCAAACAAAATTTTTTTGCACGTTTTTACCTGAACTCGTTAATTCGTTGTACGGTGCCCCTAAACTGAAATTTCCGGCAATTTCGATCGGAATGTTAAAACACGTGTGTTGCACGTGATATTTGCAGGGGTAAATTCGTCCCTTCACTTATATTCTATATATTAACTATGAATTAATCATTAAAAAAACAAAAAAAAAAAATAAAAAAAACAGAAAACAAAAAGAAAAAAAAAACAAAACAAAATAAAAACGAAGGTATCATCTTCTTATCCCGTCGCCCACCACCACTTCCAAATCCATCCCCAACCAGAAAATCTTTTTTCCCCCTGCTGCCGATTCGATCCGCCTCCATTCCTGCCATTCTCGCTATCCGTCACCACCTATTTTCTTGATGTTTTCCTTTATAGGTTTGATCCATGGCTGTGAGAAATAGGTCGAAATCTGTGGCACAATTGTTTCGGGGGAGAATGCTTCTCCGATAAAAAAATTGGGGGATTTCGGTAAATTTTTTGGGCTTGTTTTGATCGTAGTGAAACCTTGGGTGTGTTTTTAATGGTTTGATTTTATAGTTGTTGAAGAGTTTGTCGGCGGGCAACGAGCTTCTCTCCAATTGGCGACTGAAATCGAAGGTGAAATCGGTCGGCGTCGTCGAGTTCTTGCTCAATGTTCGCTGTAATTGGATGAGGCGGCAAAGCTTATTGCTGCTTTGGATGTTCTTGGTTATTCTTCCCTGCTCCGCCGTGGAAGTGGTGGAAGAAGGCGGAGATACGGGTAGGGATGAAAGAGGTTGTGCTGGGTTTCTTCGATGAATTTTTTCGACCCATTTTCGCGTCCATAAATCTACTCCTTCAGTTGTGTGTGAGAAAGATGAATATCACAGGGGAGAAAATCTGCGTCAAAAATGGAGGATGCAGGATGGCGTTGGGAGAGAAGAAGGGGAATGAAGAATACGATGAATTGACAAGTTTGCCCCTGCCAAACTCACGTGATTTGCACATGTCTAGTATTCCGACGGAAATCACCGGAAAATACCATTTTTGGGGCACCGTGCAACAAAAACACAAGTTTAGGTAAAAACGTGCAAAAAAAAATTGTTTGGGGGGCAAAGCGCAAAACGGGCATTAGTTTAGGAGGCAAACTGCTTTTTACTCATTTATAAATGCTTGTGTCTTGTAGGTGCTCTCAATATGCACGCAGTAACTTTAGAGAAATGCATTTGTTTCGTCATGTAGGCGATAAATTTGGTATTTGCAATAAGGGTCGATTAAAAAAATGGTCTTTAAGAGAGGACAATTTACCCTTAAGATAACGCATTCCTTGGCTTAAACACAATGTAGAGTTCAAATAAAGATACTTGATCCATACCATTTGTTGCTCTATTAATACAGAAAATGCTGCAAAATAATAGTTAGTGTAGGTGTCGCCGTGTCGGGATGAAATTATGTTAAATCCTGGGTTTGTTACAAAAGTGTTTCGTATTGACTGGTTAATTTGCATCTCATTATATCATGTACAACATTAATGGCGAATAAAAACATGACTAGTTTTTTTAATTCAAAAGGACTTCAACAAAATGTGGTTTACTTACTATTATAGAAAAATGATAGCAGAATCAACACCACAAATGTATGCCACTTGTTTCGGTAGCCGACGAATGATTCAAAAATGATTGACTGGGAGATGTGCAGAATGGCTGCATAATAACTATTTCTTTTTTCCCCTAATGGAACAGCTATATGTACTTCAATATAACATCTATACACAATGCCTGTTTGGCAACTCTAACTCAACTTTTTTAGAAAACAAAAGGGAAGTCTTTCTTGTACCTTTTGGCAATTTTGTATCTTTACCTAATTACGTTTGAGGCTGCCGAATTTGTGTTTGTCCTGTTCCAACTGTCTGAAAACAGAATCGAGCTCCGGAAAAGCGGACGAGAGCAGCAGCTGAAGAATGTCGAATGCTAGCTGCTTCATGAAAACAGATGACTGTACAAACAACATAATCAATCTATTAGTTATGATTCCATATAGCTGCAGGGTACACTGAAACGATTAAGCAAAGCATGAGTATGATTTTGTATCTCGGAAACAGCTTCCATTTCATCTATAAGCAACACAATCGCATTCGAAATACAGAGTAGCTGATGTATGGTAATAAACACGATTCATGAGGGCGGAAAATATTTCAACTGGGGCTGATATAGTACTTAACACTTGGTAGGGCTAGATCTCATTAATCATTCCTTTTTAATTATTGGCCAATCTTTTATCTAATTTACGAATGATGCTTAAGTTAAACTAGTTTAACATTATTAGCTTTAGGAAATGCAAGTTTAGTCTAATAACCTGAATGAAATAGTAGAGATCCTTTGCACATTGCTCATATTCCTTGTGTCCAACAAGGCCTACAATGGCAGCTGGCGCCTTATCTGCAGGGTATTTATGATGCCATTAACATTTCCAAACAAAGGTCGAGGAGTAAATTACACTCAAGATCAGAATAAGTATGACCAGGATCGAACTCTTGGATAGGCAAAATTAAAACATTACCTATCATCAGTTCATATACAAATTTGGCTCGCCGTTCAGCTTCCTTTTTTTGCATCTCCTCCAGCTTTAAGGCATCTTCTACTTTAGGCGGTGAAGATGGAGTTGAAGGTTTGCCCTCGTGCAAATTCTTGGGTGGACTATCAGGTGAAGGTCGCTGTCGCCTTGGGTGCTTTGTTATGAAGATTCCATCGGGCCATAGTATCTATTTATACCAGTTATTGAATAAAATTATCAGGAGTTCCTAGTCATGGAAGAACTGTAACAGCAAACATATGCAACATTTGCCAATTCCCTAACCAAGATTCATAAGATGCTACGACTCACAAGTTGCTATGAATAAAATTTAGACATTGTGAACTGCTTGAATGTTACTTCAAATGGGAAACTAGCCAACTTAGATGAATTAAAAAAAAAAATCTGAATATGAAATATCAAATTTACCTGCTCCAACCGCCCAATGCCAGAAGCAACAACCGACCCCCTACGCAAAACCTGGATTTTCTCAATCAACCAATCATCAAAAGCATCACCCATTCCCAATTGTAGAACTTGTTTGGCCACCCAAAAAGCTTTTCTCCTGTTAACAACTCCAAATGTGCACAAGCCAAGAAAGACAGTTAGACGGAAAACGTATACAACCAACTCCTACTTCAACTTGATTTAGATTTATACACAATTACTACCTGATCCAACCACCATCTTTAAGTTGTAAAATGACATCGACCAAATCCAATATGGGAACACTTAGATTTGGTGGCACCCACTATTTAGATGGAACAAAAACCGGAAAACAACAATATCAACATCAGAACTAAGAGATAATGCTTAAACTTTGAATACCAAACATTGTGCATAACATGAAAGCAATAAGAAAATATTGTTCAGACAGTTGAATCCAATAAACAGAATAGGGTCAACAAAGAATGTTTGTAAATGACCTCTCTCGGAATGGCTGAATCAGGGGCATTGTCGCTAGGAACAGAATGCGATTCTTGTTGGTCTCTATTTCCGGTCTTTTCCAAGTTTCTGGAGGGCTTTATGTTCTTTTGCTCTGTGTTATCTGAACCACTATTTGAGTTCTCAGAAGCCTTTTTAAATTCTTTCTCAGGCCTTCTAGGTGAAGAAAGAGCCTGGTTTGCTCTCAACCCTGATCCATCATAAACGCTACTGGAATTTTCTTTTCTGGAGGATAATGGATCATATACTGGCCTTACATTATCCTGATTTTCCTTGTTCTTTTTACGTACTGTTTCATCTAGGTACACTGAAATGCAAAACCAGTTTTAAACAGTGGAAATGTACAACAAGAAACATTGAACAAAAACACGCTGTTTAGATATTCACCTGGAAGAGTATCAATTATGGATAATGAATCTGAAAATATATACATCTGCAGTTTTGAGGATATGAAGAATTAGAAGTTAACGAAGAGGCAGAAGACTAACTGGTATTATAAAGCTTATGAGTTCTGACGTGTTGGAAAATGTATGTGCAATATATCAAACCTGAGAATCGACACTGAGGAAATCCCAAACTTCAATGGAGCCGGAAACAGTTGGAAGCTGCAGAAGCTTCTGAAAAATAGTTGAATGTCAGAAAGCATAAAGGTTCGACTTCCAAGAGAGCACAGTTCTACACATGTAGGTAAACAAGCAGATATAAAAAAATCCTGCATGGCCTCGAACTCATTGCAGTCCAGTGACCAAGTTATGATGCATAACATGTAAAGGGTAGAGAAGCTCATACACAAGTAATTATCAAGTGATCAATAACCACTGTCAGCTTAAGGGAAAGTAGTGTGTGAAGCAGATAACATTATGTTAAGAGGTGAATATCATAAGAAAGATCGCGTATAAGATGTTTCACAATTTATTAGGTATTGAATGTGTCCAAAGAGAAGATCTTATAAGCTCTAGAAATAACTATAAGCTCTTACAAAATTATAAGCCTCTCTATTTAACAATACCAAAGTATCTAGGGTATCTTCACTTTCCAGGTTGAACAAAATTAATAAAAACAACCTGAGACTTGAGAGTTCTTAAGCCTTAATTTATGTTGTTCAAAGTTCAAACAGAGTAAACTTCATACAACTCACGACTTCTGCCATATGAGAGAAAAATATACAACACCTAATGAACTTTAAAACAACTTAATGTGTGTTTATGATTATTATAAGGTCCAGGAACATGTTAGAAATGCTCAGTCAGCTTTTACTTGCATGCCATATGCACCCACTTTCAGTTTCTTTATTTTACAGGAAGTTCAGAAATGGAAAATTGTACAACCAACTGGACAAATATATAAAATGTAAAAAAAATGGCAAACCCAATGGCATAGGGGAAAAGACATAAATATCAAGTAAAGTAGTATGACCTTCAAATACTGGTCAAGTAATTTACATCGCTCTTGAATGACGAATACATCTAGACCAGTTGATAGGAAATGCTTTGGCGGCAAATGGAGATTATATTCGGGAAACTCTTTAAGGCGCCTATGTAACTCCTCAAAATGTTGGTACCTGTAAACAAGAGAAACAAGATTAGCTAATAGACTGACATTCATGAACAGCATTCTTACATATTCTCTCTGTTTGGACACAACATCTCCATCATTGTTTTTATTATCTTCTTTCCTACAAAGATACACAACCACTAATTTTGAATGGGATGTAAAAGGTATCATTTACTCTGTCTATTCAAATGAGGACATTTGATTCCTGGACATGGGCATTGTTAATCCAAATTATTCCATAAATAGGAGCCTCTTGGCAGGAATAAAAGATAAAAGGTAGAAGTTAATAGAATATCATTGCACCTTCTTTTGATAGACCAACTGTGACTATTTACATCTATAACAGATATGCAATATACAGCGAATGTTTTGGACCCACTCTTCACAATATTGGCACCCAGTACCTGCAAAAAGAAATGAGTTCCCATTCTTCACATCCTCAAGCATAAAACAGACAATGAAGCAGAGTCAAATTGGCAGGTCATTTTAAGGTGTGACTGGAGTACCTCACATCTCAACTGAAAAAACGAATCAGCAATTATCGAATTTTTGGCTGAACTTGCAGCCAGACTCTGGCTTTCAGGAAAAGAAGCCAAGGACATGGATGATGAAGTTGTGGCTCCACTACAAATTCTACCTAACAGCTCTGTCTCGGATTCCTCACTCGAGTCTCCAGGTTTGTGAGTTTCTTTGGAGGACTTTAATAAATCCTGCCCATCTCCTAATAAAGTCGTTCTTTCAACCTCTTGCCAGACATGCCCATTTTGAGTGCTGGATCTAGATCTTTTCTTTGCAGACTTGGTTTTCTGCAATCTTCTAGAATGGAACTGACCTTTGCTGGTCTTTCGGCCACTACGCCTGTCAAAGGTTTCAAGGGGATGATGAATATGGCTGAAATTTCTTTTATTTTTACCATCCCAAACTTTAACACCGGGTGAGTCAAGACCCATAGCACTGCTCGTATCATCATCTTCAGTATAGCTACTGCTCCAGGAGTCTACCTCATCACTGCAACTTTCATTTGATAAATTGCCATACATTGCAGTATTCTGTTCCCCTGTGCCTTGATAAGTTGAGGTCCGCTCCTTTTTCTTCTGTTCAGAAAGAACCTTTGACCGAACCCCTGAATTAGATAACCCGGCCGAAGAGCTTCGTGGCGAAGGATCAACTAGCTGATTTATGTCTTCCTTCCTTTTATAGTCTCTTCCTTTTGTCCACATATTGTCAAAATGTTCTGGAGCCAGGGCCTCGGTCTTTCTGCGAGAAAACACATCTAGCGCATCACCCCATTCTCCTCCAGAGGGATGTCGTTGAACACCTCTTCCTTCACCGCTATCACCGTCTGGCAAAGAACTCCAAGAACGGGTAGACCGTGTATCCATGGAAAGCAACGGATCCTTAGAAAGAAGTTTTGCGTTCATATTATCTGGTGCTTGATTCTTGGCAGCTTTGTTATTCTGATCCTGCTTCAGTTGTACCAGTTCTACACCCTTAACAGAAGGATCCGGAAACTGCAGAGTGTGTTCGGGTAAAATAACTGCATTTATTCTAGACTGTGATGCCGTTTGTGCTGCCTTACTTTCTTTATCAGTTTTTCTAGAAGAAATAACTGCAGATTCGATTCTCTCATTAATAAACCTGACACCAAGTTTGGCAGAGTTAAAGAACACGAAGAATGTGTGTTAAGAAATCACAATGACTGGTTCACTTACCTTGGATTAGCGAGATTCAGTACCGGTCTTATTACAACACACGCAAGAAGTTCCCTGACGATATAACGGAATAAAGAGCACTTCAGATCTTCAGGATTAAATGTAAGTACGATGAGGCCATCCATAACATGCTGGAGAACCTGCCATGATCCAGAGAATTAATGAAAAGGAAAATTTCTCAATCAGGGAAACCATGCATTCTACTATAGTTGTCAAACTGCAATGAAAAAAACCCAAAAGTTGGACAACCTTATGCTCAGCTTCAGCAGAAAATAAGATGGGATGCAATTTATTCTCAGCAGCCAGAATAGATTTTAATTCGATATCCAGCTCTTCTGTGGTAAAATATCTTTCTTGGTGCTTCTCAATCTTTATCTTACTTTCCCTAAAGAGCTCCAGTCGAGTAGATACTATATTGATGATATCTCTGCATGATATAAAGAAAATACTTCGTTAGAATGCCATTCAAGAGCCTAAGTCGATAATAATAAATTGGGAAGAATATCCAAAGATGGAACCTTGTTAAAAGATCTATAAGGTTAATATTTCTCATGCGACTTGAAATTTCTCCAAGTACCCCGTTCATGATCAGTACAAGCTCTTCTGTAGCTTGTCTATCTGGAGTAATGCGTGAATACCAGAGACCTGTAACCCACTCTGACACAATATGGCTATTGAATTTGTTAATTGCATCTTCAACTATAGGGGAATTCACCTTGTGCTTCCAGTCAGACCTTTCGGGCAGAACTCTGAGGACCTCAAACGGTTTGTTTTCGGAAGAACTGTTTGCAGATATTTGTTTGCCTTTGTAAGTTGCAGCTTTCCTCCGCATATCAAAATCCAGAGACATGTAGCGCATTATGATTATTAAGGACAGAGCAGCAGGCAAGTTGACTAGAACTGATGCACTTGTTACTGAGAAGGAAAAAAAGAATAGGTATGTGATGCTAAGGGATTTCGACATAAAACTAAAATCTTGGAAGTTGATTATTAAAAATCGAGAAACAATCAGTAATTTCTGATAATGAGATCTAGGGTAAGCAATATTATTCCAATATGCGCTGCGCAACCAAATATTTTAGATTTTGAAACCTTTTTATCATATAAATTACCAAAAACATATCTGATTCTATGGACTTGATGCAAAATAAGATTAACAAATGGATTCCCTATTCCTCTTGGAGGTTTCAGTTAGGATTGATAAATGATAATCTATGATTTAAGATGCGAATGTAAAAAGATAATCTTCGACACCACATAAACAGACGGAGGGATGCGGTCCACGTGTAATTAAAAGAAGGGAGTTTTATCTATTTCAGACAAAATTCGCACAATAAATGAAACCTTCCGATAGGAGATCAGAGATGTACCATTCATATTCAAATATTGTATTCCACATTTAATGCCATAGTAAATATAAAATATAAGAACCAGTGAGTTAAGGTTTTAGAAAGAGGGCCATGCATTTGCTGATTGCCGCACAAGTATGATCACAAGATTCTTTTTATCAACCCCACCGCCCACCCCGCGCCAAAAAAAAAAAGAACACATGCTTTCCGTGTTCCCCTTAGAGATTTCAGTTAGGATTTATAGATGATATATATGATTTAAGATCCAAGTATAAAATGATAACATCGAATACCTCATAAATAGAGGGAGGGATACATTCCATGTGTAATTAAAAGAATGGAATTTTTTCTTTCTATTTCAAGCAATTTGCATGATAATTGTCAAATGAAACCTTCCCATAGCGGATCAGAGATGTATCATTCATATCATATCAGAGATTGTATTACTCATTTACTGCCAAAATAAAAATAAAATATAAAACCAGTGTGCGTTAATGTATTAGAAAGAAGGTCATGCATTTGCTGCTTGTTGCACAATTACGATCAATATTTTTTACCATCTCTACCCCTCGCCCCACCAAAAAAATGAAATAGGAATTGATCTGCATGGTAGTGTGAAAATGGGAAACATAAATTCACACAAGCTTGCACCAAGGATAAAAATGCTTTGAGGTAACCACTTCCACATACTGTTACGAATTAATTGAAACATCATTGGTTAGTCATAAGTCTTCTTGCAGAAATTAGATGTTGAGTCTTTTATCTCATCGGAAAAAAAGGTGGTACTTGAGTTGATATGAGCGTTTGATCAACAGAAATACAAAGAATTTTCCATTACCAGTTTGCCAAATGACTTTGGTTACAAAAGAAGTTCAAAAAAAGGAAGAAAAGTGTATGCTATAGACCTAAAAGATCCACGACCATCCCTTGGCTCGTGTACAGCTTCAGCCCTAGGTAGTCCATGGTAATGCTGCTTGATTACTAAGTTGTAATAATGACACTAAAATTTTATCTGTCTCTGAAATGAATAACCACAGGCAACTGAAACCAAGCTTGCAACATTGCAAATAAATGGATCCGCAGTTTTCAACAGAAATAAAAAAAACAGACAGAGTGGAAACAGCAAAAAACATTGAAGATAACCAAAAAAAAAGTGTTATGCAATTTATTAGCTATAGAATTTATATGCATAATCTCAATCGAACAAATTTCACTCTGAGAGATTTTCAAAAAGAAGATATAGAATATATCAGATGAACTGAATCTGGAAATTAACTACACAACAGTAATTCTGAGCTCTCCAATTAGTTTTACAAGCAGCATGGTCAATTAGTCATGCAGAATAATACATCAGAAATGAACCCCCATGTACTTATAACTTCCCATATCCTCTTTTAAAGGTATACTGAAAGAATCCAGTATTTGGAACTCCAAACAACAATGCAGAGACTGTTAATATACCGAATTAACAAAATTTAAAATGTAACAACTTGCGAAATCAAGAAAGTAAGTCACGTGATTCTCATAAATCTTCCGACCAGAAAACAAATACTCACTTTGCAAAGGATGGCATGTGAATGAAGAGTAAACTAAGTGCACCTACGCACATGTACATCCAAGTAACCATCAACAAACTTTAATAGACTTGCAAAACGTTCTTGGAGTGGACTAACTACAGCTTTGCCATTCGTGTCAAATTTAAAATTAGTTCAGATATAGTTTTATATCTCAAAATTGCTTCTCTCTTCAAACTTAGTGTATGTGCAACTATCCTCAATTTACTTATCTTAATACCACTCCGAGAAGCAAGAAAAACACATGAAAAAAGTGAATACCATCCAGAATTCCTACATGTTCAGATAACTAAGAAATGACACACAAGTTGCTCCTTGATTTTAAATGCATCACAAACATATAAATTACATGCATTGGCCTAATCGAGCTCTGAAACATAAAACAACCTAAGTGAAACTACAATTCTACGTCGAAATTAGAGAAAACCAAAATAGAATGAAACAACCAAGGATGAACAAAAGGTCACTTACATGACATGAGGTAGGACATTCCAACAACACATACGACCAATAAAACAATCCGCTTCTTTGCCTCCTCAGCTAGGTCTCGAACGCCCACCGTTTGCTTTTCGTTGCCGCTCATTTTTTTTCCAGACCTCCGGTAATTACTTTTACCTTTTTAGATCATCTCATATACTCATCAAAAACTCAATCAACCAATTTAACACCAAAAAATGGAATATCACTCGAGATTTTGCAATCAAACACTCCAGAAACCATATTAATCAAACTATCACTGCAAAAATCTCCATTAACAAAAAAAAAAAAACACAACCCAAACAAAGCAGGATAAAGGATCGAAGAGAACGAATAACTCGATGCGAACACGTCACGCAATCATCCAATTAAAATTGACCACCAATCCAATAGAACATTTAGGTTTTCAGTGCGCGCGCGTGGGGGAATATCAAATGTATGTATGTATGTGTGTACGAGCTTTTGAGCATTTTCTCTCTCTAGCTTTCTCACCCTAGAATATCAATTCCCAATTCTCCTCTCTGTTTTTTTGGTTTAGGGATTTGTATTACTGCTAAATTAATCAGCATTGATTGGAATTGGTTTTAGAAGCTGACGGCTCAGCTAATAACTAGAAGACACTTGTCGCGGCGATGGAGACCGTGTCTAGAATAGTAATTTCACATTCTTCTGGTTTTGAACTCGTGTGAAGACGCTCTGCGACAGACGACAAGTGACCACGATGCCCTTGTGAGTTGACATTTATGCCCCCTGTGAATCAAATATTACACGATTCTACATTTTACATTTCTTTAACTAACATGTAAGAATAATACGATTTAAAAGTTGGGAAAATTGATTAAAATTCCTTTAGTTATTTTGTATAGCTAACAGCTTGTACGAATATTTTGAATTTACTAAAAATCCCCTCCGTCAACTTAGTTGACAACTTATAGTCTTATACTGAAAATAGACTGTTTAGTTGACGAGTTTAGAATGAAAATAAATAGTCAATACTTAAAATAGAAAGACAGCTTAGTTCGAGAATCTGAAACGAAATAGACATCTTAGACTGAATGGAAGGATTGGGACATATGAGAACAACTTTTTTCAATGCGTGGTTTGCAGAATTAGGCGATCAACGAGAGTCGATAGATAGACATAGATGAAAAGGTAGACAAACATCATTTTTTTTAATGACTGTGAGTCTGAGGACGAAAATATTTTTATCTATTTTCAGTTTAAATTCTATAAGTAAGTGATGATTTTTTTAGTAAAACGCGAAAATATGAAATGAAATTAGAAATGAACGTATTAGCCCGCATGGGTGTAACTCAACTGGTTCCGGAGGTGGTAAGTTGGTACAAGGTCCTAGGATCGAATTCTGGCAGCCGCAGTGTGGGAGTTTCAACTCCAATGAGGGTTGGTTCCTTGTGGGCACCAGGTTCAGGTCCGCTACCTTAATGGACCGTTGAATTACCATGATTTACATTCCTCCATCAATCCTTGTCGGGCCAAGAGATGAGGGCCGGCCCTGGGGACAAGGGATGAGGGCCCTGGAGGCGAGGGATTTCGCCTTTTGGTGCAAGAAATGAACGTATTAACAAATTGCCTCATAAAAGTTAGCTAAAATTTAATAAAGTAATGTTATGTATGTGCATATAGTATTATAATCATGCATATGATATAATAGAGCAATATATATAGTACACTTATGATCAAATATTTAAAACTATTAAAAATAATATTTAGCTAACATAAATTAAATTATCAAATAAATGTGTATTTGCATTATTTACACTTCACATATATTATTACCTATGAATATATATTTTAAAATTAAATAAGAAAAAATACAAGTTATCTAAAATTCTTCCAATTTAATGAAATAAATTTTCCATTTATTAAAAAAAAAAGATAATAATAAAATTTAAAAAATGTTTAATTAGTAAAATACCTCAATGGGCAGACCAATGGGCCGATTAACTATTATATAACGTAGGCCCATTAGGGCCTTTAATTAATTAATAATACTTTTTCTTAATAAGTATTTAATTCATTAATTATACTTGTTCTATAATAAATTAAAGAGTAAAAAGCAGTTTACCCCCTAAACTAATACCCGTTTTGCGCTTTGCCTCCCAAACAATTTTTTTTTGCACGTTTTTACCTAAACTCATCTTTTTGTTGCACGATGCCCTAAAAATGGTATATTCCGGCAAAATTCATCGGAATTATGAGCATGTGAGCCACACGTGAGATTGACAGGGCTAAAATTGTCTTTTCACTTCCAACACTTGACTGGTGTTTAAATTCCCCATTTTTCCGTCTCTCTTTTTCTTTTCTTCATTTCTTTTTCAATTTTTTTACTCCTTTCCTTTTCCAATTCTTATTTTCCCGTTCTTCGCTTACCCTCCGTTGACCAGTTTCCACAGCTTCCGAATCCGACAAGGAGACCCGCCCCCAAATCCCTTCGTTTTGACGCGAAGACGAGGCTAATGGATTAATTCTCGCACTGATGGTGTCGGCATACGAAGGCTGAGACATATGGAGACCCGAAAACTTCAATTGGTTGTACAGATCTTAGCCGAATACTTGAGGAATCAATGGGTCCGGATTCGGGTTATTCCAAATCATCATCACCTTTACCTATGGCCGTGAATGGAGGAGTTGGGGTGGTGGTCTTCGGAAAATTTGGGGACTTATTGGAATGATAGTTTGGGATTCTTCTGGTTGGATTTGGCTGGGTGGTGTGGGCGACGGGATGGATGACTGAGTTTTATTTTTTTTTATTATTTATTTTTATTTTTAAGGGATGGCATAGAAAATGGTGGTGTGGAGTTTGATGGGGGTTTCAGATGATTCTTGGCGAATCAGGCTAGAATGGGAAGATTGATGAGTGAAGGAAGAAGGGTGAGAATGACGGTGGTTTCAGCTGATTCTTTTTACTTTTTTTTTTTTTTTTAATATTTATTTGTATTTAATATTAAAAATGTAAGTGAAGGGACGAATTTACCCTTCAAAATCTCACGTGCAAAGCACATGTTTTAACATTCCGGTTAAAATTGCCGGAAAATCGAGTTTAGGGGGCACCGTGCAACGAATTAACGAGTTTAGGTAAAAACGTGCAAATTTTTTTTGTTTGGGGGGCAAAGTGCAAAACGGCCCTTAATTTAGGGGGCAAACTGCTTTTTACTCTAAATTAAATATAAAGCTGATTATTCAATTACTGAAGGGACGTGGCAAAAGCGTTCTACACAACACCCGCCCGCTCAAAAGTCTCTCTCTCTTCCCCCGGAAAATTCTCGGAGAAAACATCAAGCACATAGAACAGCTGCAGAGAATCGCAAAAAAAAAATGTCGATTATTGCGTGCGATACTTACTATGAAGATACCCCAACAGTATGTCAGTCTTCAATTTCAGTCCCCGCCCAATTTTTTTTTTTTTTTAATTTTTTTTAACTTTGTATTCCCGATTGTTTGTTGGTGGTTTTTCTTTCACTAGCTCGATGAAGTGAAGAATGAAATATCTGGTATTGTGGGGTTGAGAGAGATAAAGGATCAGTTGGCGGCGATTGTGGAGAAGATAATTGCTGCGGAGAAGGACGCTGCTAATGGATTTAGGGTTGTGCCCCCAAAACCCTTTCATATGGTGTTCTTAGGGAATAATGGAACTGGTAAAACTCCAAATTCTATCAATTTATAGCTTTTTTTTTTGATATGTTTGAAATTTAAATAGAGGGGATGATTAATTTTTTGGGCATTATTAATGAGAGAAAAAAAAATGTGTGTTTGTTGTATTTTATCCGATTGGTTAGGGTAATTAGTGATGGTTTAGATTAATTTTTTTCAGTTTATGGATAATTGATTTCCAGTAGAACTTATGAATCCGGGTTGAGATTTTAGGATTATTTTTCTATTATGGATGACGGATGTTCGAAGTTAAAAAGAAAAAGAAATGGAAACAATAATGAAATAATTATTAATGTGTTTGTTGGGGGGGGGGGGGGGGGGAGCTCTATCAATCAAAAAAAGAACTCGAAGTTGATAAATTTTAGGCTCAAATTAAAGCCTAATTTAAATATGAAACTTGCAAACTTATGTGGAGGAATATTAAATATAAAGGCTTGAGGCCTAGAATAAATTTCAAGACTATAAGTCTCAATTGAATACATTAGACTCAAGGTCTAAGTGATGATAATCTGCATTGAATATTTGAGTT